ACAATCAAAAACTCGTTTGACTGGTGGGCAGGTCCTCACAGTGTATGTGTGGGAGTCCCCTTCACTCAGCCACCCCTATTGTTGATTTTGACAATGGGTACATTCCTTATGGGATGGGGAGCCCACTTACACCATTCAGGGTAAATGGTCCCCTCTCGAATCCACACTATGTATCAACTTCTTAGAACTCAGAGCAGTCTTCTCACACTTCCTACCAATGATCAAAGACAAACATGTAAAGATTGAGAGACAGAATTGCATGTATGTTCTATATAAACCACCAGGGAGGAACAAGATCACATTCCGTGTGCGCCAAGGCAGTGAAAATATGGAACTGGCGCATTAATCACCAGATCGGCATCTCAGCAACCTGCCTCCCGGGCATACAGAAGACTACAGCGGATATTCTGAGATTTTCCCAAGATCCAAAATGATATTTGAGATAAAGAAAAGGCCAGAGTTATTCTTGTAGTTCCAACGAGGCCAAGGCAGACGTGGTTCCCATACCTTTTCCAGCTGGCAGTCTGTCCATCAATTGGTCTCCACTCCATTCCTCATCTTCTTTCTCAAGATGCAGGCCAGAGCCATCACCCAAATCTGCAAGTTCTCCGGCTCAAAACATGGCTCCTCATTGGTTCCAAAGATTAGAAATGAACTGTTCTGAGGATAGGTTTCAGAGGGGTAGCCATGTTAGTCTGTATCAGTAAAAACAACGAGGAGTCCTTGTAGCACCTTAGAGACTAACAAATTTATTTGGGCATAAGCTTTCGTGTGAAGGAAGTACTGTTACATAGCAGAAAAATAGCTACTTGTCACGCATACATTCAAAATGGAACAGATTCCAAATCTGATGTGACGCAAGACAGTTTACTTTTACTTCCTCTCCGTTACCGGAAATCAGACCTATCTGTAAGCTCGGTAAAGGTACATCTCAGTCATTAACATTTTCTACTGGAAGATAGATGGTCATTCGGTGTCTGCTCATCCTACAATGAAAAGATTTCTTAAAGGTATGGGTAACCTCTACCTTTGAATCAGAGATCTTACACCAGTATGGGACCTTAATCTTGTCTTAAACTGTCTGATAAGGTCAGCCTTTGAGCCTATGGCCACTTGCTCACTTCTACACCTCTCTATGAAAACTGCATTCCTCGTGGCTATCATGTCTGCTCGGAGAGAGGGGGCCCTAATGGTATATCCCCTCCCTTTATGATTTTCTTCAAGGACAAGGCCATATTGCGGCCACACCCCTAATTCCTACCAAAATACCTTCAGCCTTCCACATAAATCAACTTACTCACCTTCCAGCATTCTTTCCCAAACTACACTGGGATAAAAGAGAGGCAACGCTACACACACTCGACGTTAGAAGAGTGTTAGCCTTCTATTTGGAAAGGACTAAGCCTTTCAGAAAATCTCCAAGTCCTGGTCTACACTACGAGTTTAGGTGGAATTTAGCAGCGTTAGATCGATTTAACCCTGCACCCGTCCACACGGCGAAGCCATTTTTGTTGACTTAAAGGGCTCTAAAATCGATTTCTGTACTCCTCCCCAACGAGGGGATTAGCACTGAAATTGACCCTGCTGGGTCGAATTTGGGGTAGTGTGGATGCAATTTGACGGTATTGGCCTCTGGGCGCTATCCCAGAGTGCTCCATTGTGACTGCTCTGGACAGCACTCTCAACTCAGATGCACTGGCCAGGTAGACAGGAAAAGCCCTGCGAAATTTTGAATTTCATTTCCTGTTTGGTCAGTGTAGCGAGTTGATCAGCACAGGTGACCATGCAGAGCTCATCAGCACAGGTGACCATGGAGTCTTAGAATCGCGAAAGAGCTCCAGCATGGACCGAACGGGAGGTTCTGCATCAGATCGCTGTATGGGGAGACGAATCAGTGCTATCCAAACTCTCTTCCAAAAGACAAAATGCCGGAATATTTGAAAAAATCTCCAAGGGCATGAAGGACGGAGGTTATAACAGGGACCCGCAGCAGTGCCACGTGAAGCCTACCAAAGAACCAGAGAGGCAAACGGCAGCTCCGGGTCAGAGCCCCAGACATGCCGCTTCTATGATGAGCTGCATGCCATTCTAGGGGGTGCCCCTACAACTACCCCACCCCTGTGCTTCCTCCTCCCCCATCCCTCCCAGGCTACCTTGGCAGTTATCCCCCCATTTGTGTGACAGATTAATAAAGAATGCATGAATTTGAAACAACGACTTTATTGCCTCTGCAAGCGGAGATCAAAGGGGGGAGGTGAGGGCGGTTGGCTTACACAGAAGTAGAGTGAACCAAGGAGGCGGGTTTTCATCAAGGAGAAACAAACAGAACTTTCACACCGTAGCCTGGCCAGTCATGAAACTGGTTTTCAAAGCTTCTCTGATGCACAGCGTGCCCTGCTGTGCTCTTCTAACCGCCCTGGTGTCTGGCAGTGCGTAATCAGTGGCCAGGCGATTTGCCTCAACCTCCCACCCTGCCATGAACGTCTTCCCCTTACTCTCTCAGATATTGTGGAGCACACAGCAAGCAGTAATAACGATGGGAATATTGGTTTCGGTGAGGTCTAACCGAGTCAGTAAATGCGCCAGCAGGCTTTTAAACGTCCGAAGGCACATTCTACCACCATTATGCACTTGCTCAGCCTATAGTTGAACTGCTCCTTACTACTGTCCAGGCTTCATGAGCCATGGGAGCAAGGAGTAGGCTGGGGTACGTGCGACTGCGTAGTGCTGCCGACTGGGAGAGCAGCCTGAGGCAGAAGCCTCCAGCTGGCATGATATTCCAGGCAGGACTGAATCTCCATTAGACTAAACTTAAAGAAGAGAATACCTGGAGTCATTCCCATTTTTGTCCAGGCGCCCCCGACCGACCTCACCGAGGCTGGCCAGGAGCACCCATGTCTGCCCAGGCGCCCCTGACCAACCTAACCGAGGTCGGCCAGGAGCACCCACGGGACGACGACGACGGGTAGCAGTCGCATTGTACCATCTGCCGGTCGCAAGGCAAGGCAAAGGGATGCTGCTGTGTAGCACTGCAGTACCGCGTCTGCCAGCAGCACCCAGGAGACATATGGTGACAGTGAGCTGAGTGGGCTCCATGCTTGCCGTGGTATGTCGTCTGCACGGGTAACCCAGGAAAAAAGGCGAGAAACGATTTTTTGTCATTGCTTTCACGGAGGGAGGGAGGGGGGCCTGACGACGTACCCAGAACCACCCGCGACAATGTTTTTGCCCCATCAGGTATTGGGAGCTCAACCCAGAATTCCAATGGGCAGCGGAGACTGTCTGATAGCTACCACAGTGCAACGCTCCGAAAGTTGATGCTAGCCTCGGTACTGTGGGCGCACACCGCCGACTTAATGCGCTTAGTGGGGACACACACAATCGACTGTATCAAATCGATTTCTAAAAAATCGACTTTTGTTAAATCGACCTAATTTCATAATGTAGACATACCACTATTCCTCTACATCTCATACAGATCTAAGGGATCCCCAATATCTGTGCAATGGCTCTCTAGATGGATATCGGAATGCATTTACTACTGCTATTGCATGCATGACCTACAGCCCCCTTGGAGAGCCTGAACGCACTCTACAAGTTCTCTGTCGACTTCTATCCTTCCTCAATAATGTTTCAATCACAGAAATATGCAGAGCAGCGACTTGGGCATCCACTCATACATTTGCCAAGCATTATGCATTCACTCGTGATTCAACATCTGATGTGATACTTGGTTTGACCGTATTATCATCAATATTGGACTCCACTCCGATGCCCCACCCTTCCAACAGGGACACTGCTATAGAGTCACCTAGAGTGGAACACTCATAGAGACACTACTTGAAGAAGAAGAAGAGGTTACTCACCTTGTGTTGTAACTGAGGTTCTTCAAGATGTGTCTCCCTATGGGTTCTCCACACTAGGTGACTCTTATATATGACAGGTTTCAGAGTAGCAGCCGTGTTAGTCTGTATCCGCAAAAAGAACAGGAGTACTTGTGACACCTTAGAGACTAACAAATTTATTAGAGCATAAGCTTTCGTGGGCTACAACCCACTTCTTCGGATGCATATGCTTATGCTCTTATATATGAGTTCTGCGGTAAAGAAGGAACTGAGGGTGGTTTGCCCATACAGCGCTAGACAGCAACAGAACATGGTGCAAGATGGGGAGAGAGCATGTGTGGGCCAAACGGACACTGCTACCAAAAATCTCCAATCTGAGGCGCAGGGATGTGAAGACACCTAGAGTGGAGCACCCGTAGGGGGACACACATCTCAAAGAGCCTCAAGTACTGCACAAGGCGAGTAACCTCTTCTGTAATGAGCAGCAAAGCAGTTCTTTGAGAGGTTTACTATTATTTCATCATCAATCATTAAGCTTTCAGCACAGCTGTGGTTTAGAAATCCTAGGTCCTGTGCCACACTGCCACAGCTGCAGTCAGCACGGGCATGCAAGCTGGAATGCCCACACTATCAAAGAGAGGGGATGGAGGGCAGATTGTTCCCTTTGAGTGTTCAGAGTCTCAAGAACTTGGTGCCACCTCACTTGGTCCAAAATAGCTCAAATTTGGTGACCTTCCAGGCATGCAGCAAAAGACACCTGTTTGATAGGATTTTTGGAGAGGCTGTGTTTCTCACAATGATGAAAGAGTGGGAATTAGTTTCTGTAGGTGTCTAGCTGGCTCATTTCCTGTGAAATGATTACTTTAATGCTGCTGGGATATTGTTGTATTATCAATGTTGTATTAGGGTACCTAAAGCCTTGGATAGATGTCTTTATTTTAAATCTAAATGCCAACCTATTTGATTTATTTAAGATCTTGCTTTGTTTTTAGTTGTGAAACTCTTGTTACATTGTTTTCAAGTTGTTATGCACTTTTAAAAATTCTCAATGTATGGTTTTGTCTCAATACTTTTATAATATTTAGTATTAGGGGTTTTTTTATGTTGGGTATTTTTAACTTTTGCTCTCCCTCTTCCCCTGTTTTAATACTGCAGTTCCAAAAGAGTTGGTAGAACTTCACTTGAAACTGATGAGGAAGATTGGGAAGTCTGTCACAGCAGACAGATGGGAAAAATACTTGATCAAGGTACAGTAAATTTCTGTTCTATTACTCTGAAAATGCTGGGATCTGATGAAATCTTATGTCAGAAATCCCTAGTATGAATTATAGTGAGCCTAGAGCTGTAGCCAAAATCTGTGTGCAAGCCCAGTCCAGAGTTACTTAAGGTTCTAGTTTAACTAACTTTCAGCCTGCCTGGGTATGCACACAAATTTCTGAAACTAGATACCCAACTTCTGCATGTAGAAGGTTGCAAACCTGCAAGCTCTATTACATGTGCAAGACAGGAGCAGATTGGACTATAAGAATTATAGTGGCCAGTCAGAGCAGCGAGATTTCCATATTAATGATAAACTACTGTATCAGTAATTCTAATATGATGTAAATCCCTGTATTATAGCTGACAACCATATAGAGATTTGTATACTGTATGCTTATTGATAAATAAGAATAGTGTGATTATGCTATCAGAGTACCCAGAATTGAAAAACTGGGGAAAAAATTGTAGTTATGCATCAATAATGGTAAACCATCCCTTTGCTCTGATGCCAAGATGGTCCCATATTGGAATTATAAATCACTTATGTAATGTTACACATTTACAGAGCACCTGATAAGCATATATAGGACATAGTCCTTGCTCCAGGGAATTTGCAGAGACTGAAAGGTCCATGTTTTATTAATAAAGCACTGTGCTAATCAGGAATACTTCAAATTGAACTTTGGTTATTCCCGTTATTTTAGTTGTTTGGTTGGCTGTCACTGAGCACTTTGTTTCAGAGTGGTAGCCGTTTTAGTCTCTATCAGCAAAAACAATGAGGAGTCCTTGTGGCACCTTAGAGACTAACACGTTTATTTGGGCATAAGCTTTTGTGGGATATAACCCATTTCATCAGATGCATGGAGTGAAAAAAAATAGGCAGGTATAAATACACAGCACATGAAAAGATGGGAGTTGCGTTACTAAGTGGGGGGTCAGTGCTAACAAGGCCAATTCAATTAGGGTGGATGTGGCCCATTCCCAACAATTGTCAAGAAGGTGTGAGTATCAACAGAGGGAAAATTATTTTTTGTAGTGACCCAGCCACTCCCAGTCTTTATTCAGGCCTAATTTGATGGTGTCAAGGTTGCAAATTAATTCCAGTTCTGTAGTTTCTCGTTGAAGTCTGTTTTTGAAGCCTTTTGTTGAAGAATGGTGATTTTAAAGTCTGTTATTGAGTGTCCAGGGAGATTGAAGTCCTCTCTTACGGGTTTTTGAATGTTACAATTCTTGATGTCTGATTTGTGTCCATTCTTTTGCATAGAGACTGTCAGGTTTGGCCAATGTACATGGCAGAGGGGCATTGCTGGCACATGATGGCATATATCACATCGGTAGATGTGCAGGTGAACGAGCCCTTGATGGTGTGGCTGATGTGGTTCGGTCCTACGATGGTGTCCCTTGAATAGATATGCGGACAGAGTTGGCAATGGGGTTTGTTGCAAGGGCTGGTTAGTGTTTCTGTTGTGTGGTGTGTAGTTGCTGGTGAGTATTTGCTTCAAGTTTGGGGGGCTGTCTGTAAGCAAGGACTTGCCTGTCTCCCAAGGTCTGAGAGAGTGAGGGATTGTCCATCGGGATAGGTTGTAGATCCTTGATGTTGCACTGGAGAGGTTTTAGTAGGGGGCTATAGGTGATGGCTAGTGGCGTTCTGTTACTTTTTTTGATGGGCCTGTCCTGTAGTAGGTGACTTCTGGGTACCCTTCTGGCTCTGTCAATCTGTTTCTTCACTTCCCCAGGTGGGTATTGTAGTTTTAAGAATGCTTGATAGAGATCTTGTAGGTGTTTGTCTCTGACTGAGGGATTGGAGTAAATGCAATAATATCTGAGGGCTTGGCTGTAGACAATGGATTGTGTGATGTGATCTGGATGAAAACTGGAGGCATGTAGTTAAGTATAGTGGTCAGTAGGTCACTATCGCTTACTTGCACTATAGTGTCCAGGAAGTGAATCTCTTGTGTGAACTGGTCCAGGATGAGGTTGATGGTGGGGTGGAAATTGTTGAAATCCTGGTGGAGTTCCTCAAGGGCCTCCTTCCCAGAGGTCCAGATGATGATGTCATCAATGTAGTGCAAGTAGAGCAGGGGTGCTAGGGGACGAGAGCTAAGGAAGCGCTGTTCTAAGTCAGCCATAAAAATGTTGACATACTGTGGGGCCATGCGCATACCCATAGCAGTGCCGCTGACTTGAACATATAAATCATCCCCAAATCTGTCTGGGTGAGGATAAAGTCACAAAGCTCAGCCACCAGGTTTGCTGTGACATGATTGGGGATACTGTACAGCTTGTAGTCCATCTTTGTGTGGAATGTTTGTGTAGTGGGCTTCTACATCCATAGTGGCTAGGATGGTGTTTTCTGGAAGATCATCAATGGATTGTAGTTTCCTCAGGAAGTCAGTGGTGTATCGAAGATAGCTGGGAGTGCTGGTAGCATAGGGGTCTGAGGAGAGAGTCCACATAGCCAGGCAATCCTGCTTTGTTCACTTTACACTTCTGGATTCCTGTAACAAGCAACAGTAATTAAATCAGGAGGAGAACAGAGCTTGCATTGCAACACCAGGCACAGCGTCCAATCATAAGGCCTGCTTTTTAAGCTTGCATTGCAACTTTAAAGTGGCTGCAGCTCTTAGCATGCTTTATTTTTCAATTTTGCTGAAATTTTTAATATATAACACTTTACCCGTAGACCACAAATTACTGAATGGTAAGCAGGAGAGGACCAGCTTTTTGTGGTAGGGAGCTGGTGTAGGGTGTGGCAGATGGATGATTCTTTTGTCCCCCTTGCTACCAGTGATCTGTTCAAACAGAAGTAATTGGGACACATACTGAAGAGAAGATACTTGGTGTGCTTCTGGAATCTTGTTATTGTCTTTTATGCAGGGCTCTTACGTGGTTATACAGAAGGTTCTGGCTTAGGCAAAGACGCATTGTTTGTCCTCAGATATAGACCGCTTAGCCCTTTTGGGAAGTGCACAGTCTGATTAATGCAGACTGTTTTGTCCCATGAGTGCTTCCTTCATTTGATCACTCTCAAAAGTTTTTCACATTCTTATGCAGTTAAGATTTATTGGCTTTGGACTAGTCTCTTTGGACCCTTCAACTGTGAAATCTACAGATTCCCAATAGACTGCTTCCGCTAGCGCTGGTTTAGGATTCAGATGTCTGTGGTCTTCTGAGACTCACCAGCTGCGTGTTTGATTCCTGCCTATGTTTGCTGCTTAAAGCAAGCAATTTGACCATGGTGCCAGTAAGTAGCACTTAGATGCCAGTGTAAGTGCCTTAAGAAGTATTTTGGAGAGACACATATCAGCACCCGTTTTACAGATTGGTAGGGTATGGTCATACTTTCATGTGCAGAAATCAGCTGCTTCCTCAAGAAACCAACTCCTGTTGCTGAAGTGCTTGCCGGTTTCAAACTTCCCCTTTTCAAAAGGGGATGGTTCTAGCATTCCAGTTATGCTTAAACCCATGACCTCTGTGGTAGGCTTCAGACTGGGTTCTAGCTTTCTTTGGAGTTGAGACTGCATTTATCAGGATTAAGAATAATCTGCTGGTTTTAGTTTATGGAAACTTGGTCATTGTGGTCATGACACATGGTTTCAACAGCTCTGATGCCACTGAGTTGTTGCTTGGGCAATTAAAAGACATTTCCAGTGTTTCTGAAACTTCCCTCCATTGGTTTGAGTGATACATAGAACACAGGAGTTGGTCATTGATGTTTGACGTGTCTTCTCCAATGTTTTTGATATGCAGCATCCCCCAATGATCTCCATGTTTAGAATGTTAAATACAAGAGATAAAGTAGAATGTCATCAGTTTGTTGGCAATAAACAGTTGTATCTGTTGTTCTAAGTTTTGGCCTGTGCATTGGAAGAATGGACAACATAGCTTGTCGTCAAAACAGGAAAACTTGCTGCTGAGCAGAAGTCATTTTTATGAGATGGTACTCTTCTTTTGTTTCCACTTTCTGAAGCAACTCATTCAGCGTTAGCGAGTGAAGTTTGGCCTCACTTTCAGCCATGCGGCTCTATCGAAAGCTACATGCTGGATGTGGTTTAGAAGCTTACTTTGCCCTGGGTACACCTTCTATTTAACAATAACATCTTGATCAGGAAGATTGATAAAACCCTTAATGCTTTCAAGAGGACTTCTGTTGCTTGCAATTTGTTTAGGATGCAGCAGCACTTTGGGCCACTGATTTAAGCATCCATGGTACAACAGTGCCACTTTAAAAACAAACAAACAGTCCTCAACATTGTAGTCTCTGGGTATATTTCAGACTACCTTGAGCCTTGTTCTAGTGGACACTTGTACTTAGATACCCCACACCAACTAGGGATCCCACTATTGTGTCTTAAATATGTCAGCAGCCACTAGTGCCTTTGCTATTATGGGTCCTAGGATGTGAAATTTGCTCCTTCATGACAATTATTTTGACCCTCTCACTTTAAAAATAAATAAATAAATAATCTAAAACTTCTTATCCCAACCCTTTTTTCCCCACTGTTGATCCCATATATTCATTCTCCACCACCACCCGCTTTCTGTGGCCCATTTGGTAGGTGTTAGTTGTTTATATTTTTAAAGGTGGTCTTTTATTATAATGTTTTCAAATACATTTTAAATGGTTTGAGGTATGTGCTCCAAGGACCTCAGCATTTTATACATAATTACATCGTTTTACAACATGGAATGAATGGTAGTCTCACACACTATTTGTATTACAGTAGCATTACCTAGAGGCCGCAACTGAGAGTGTGATTCCCATTGTGGGTACGTCTACATTGCATTGTAAAACCCACTGCAGCAAATCTCAGAGCCTGGGTCTGCAGACTTGGGCTCATGCTACAGGGCTAAAAACAGCTAAAAGACATTGCTTCAGAACCCAAGCTCCAGTCCAAGCCACAGTGTTTACACTGCTGTTTTTGGCCGTGTAGCATGAGCCCCACAAGCCCGAGTCTGTAGACCCAGGCTCTGAGACTTGCTGCCACGGGTTTTAAAACAGTGTAGACATACCCTGTTAAGTGCTGTACAGACATGTAAGAAGCAGTCTCTGCTCCATAGTACTTGTAGTCTAAATAGACATGACAGACAAAGGGAGATGGGAAAAGAAATGGATGCACAGAGGTGAAATAACTTGCCCAAGGTCGCATAGCAAGTCAATGACAGAGTTAGTTCTATTCCTAATAGAACCTGGGTCTCCTGACTCCCAGTCTGGTGCCCTAGCTGTGGATCGTGCTGTCTCTTAAGAGTTGCTCAGAGCTAGGAAAATGGAGGCGATAGGCAAGATCCTGATGCTATGCTCTTTCAGGACTTAGTGGTGACATGCCCAGTGCTTGCCCACCTTCACCTGGCTTTATCTCTGATTTTTGTCTATAGCTTTTTTGCTTACAGAAGTTGCACTGTTCGTAGATAAAAGTAAACATTGGTATTGCAACAAAATACTCTTCCTCTGTAGAGGTTTCAAGTTACATTCATCCACTAATACTAGTTAGTTTAATATTTTGTTGATCTGACAGATATGCCAAGAGTTCAACAGTACTTGGGCATGGGAGATGGAGAAGAAAGGATACCTGGAAACGAGTGTTGAATGCAAATTGGGAATTCTGAAGGTAATGTATTTACTATTTTTTGAAAATGACCCTTTGAAAACTTATAAATTGCAGTAATTAAATGTATTAAATTTGAAGCTGATGTCAGAGCTTGTAACAAACAAATATCACCAATCATAGTTGCTGATGGTCTTGTTAATGGGGATAAGCCTCAACTAAATATGGTGTTTTCTATTTGTTTTCATACTTTACTTGTTCGCACTGAAATATATTTGTAGTTACTGTTCTGCCCTTGGAGGGTGTTTCCACATGCAGTATTCTTTTTTGTTATGTGCATGAGCTAGTAATGAAACAATTTTATCTTAAGTGCAAAGGTGAGAGATGGGGCTCATCTTCAGCTTTTCAGCTCATGAGACGAGGCAGGAGTATAGAATCATAGAATATCAGGGTTGGAAGGGACCTCAAGAGGTCATCTAGTCCAACCCCCTGCTCAAAGCAGGACCAATTCCCAACTAAATCATCCCAGCCAGGGCTTTGTCAAGCCGGGCCTTAAAAACCTCCAAGGAAGGAGACTCCACCACCTCCCTAGGTAACGCATTCCAGTGCTTCACCACCCTCCTAGTGAAATAGTGTTTCCTAATATCCAACCTGGACCTCCCCCACTGCAACTTGAGACCATTGCTCCTTGTTCTGTCATCTGCCACCACTGAGAACAGCCGAGCTCCATCCTCTTTGGAACCCCCCTTCAGGTAGTTGAAAGCTGCTATCAAATCCCCCCTCATTCTTCTCTTCTGGACACTAAACAATCCCAGTTCCCTCAGCCTCTCCTCATAAGTCATGTGCTCCAGACCCCTAATCATTTTTGTTGCCCTCCGCTGGACTCTTTCCAATTTTTCCACATCCTTCTTGTAGTGTGGGGCCCAAAACTGGACACAGTATTCCAGATGAGGCCTCACCAATGTCGAATAAAGGGGAATGATCACGTCCCTCGATCTGCTGGCAATGCCCCTACTTATACAGCCCAAAATGCCGTTAGCCTTCTTGGCAACAAGAGCACACTGTTGACTCATATCCAGCTTCTCGTCCACTGTGACCCCTAGGTCCTTTTCTGCAGAACTGCTACCTAGCCATTCGGTCCCTAGTCTGTAGCAGTGCACGGGATTCTTCCGTCCTAAGTGCAGGACTCTGCACTTATCCTTGTTGAACCTCATCAGGTTTTTTTTGGCCCAATCCTCTAATTTGTCGAGGTCCCTCTGTATCCGATCCCTACCCTCTAGTGTATCTACCACGCCTCCTAGTTTAGTGTCATCTGCAAACTTGCTGAGAGTGCAGTCCACACCATCCTCCAGATCATTAATAAAGATATTAAACAAAACCGGCCCCAGAACCGACCCTTGGGGCACTCCGCTTGAAACCGGCTGCCAACTAGACATGGAGCCATTGATCACTACCCGTTGAGCCCGACGATCTAGCCAGCTTTCTATCCACCTTACAGTCCATTCATCCAGCCCATACTTCTTTAACTTGGCGGCAAGAATACTGTGGGAGACTGTATCAAAAGCTTTGCTAAAGTCAAGGAATAACACATCCACTGCTTTCCCCTCATCCACAGAGCCAGTTATCTCATCATAGAAGGCAATTAGGTTAGTCAGGCACGACTTCCCCTTGGTGAATCCATGCTGACTGTTGGTGATCACTTTCCTCTCCTCTAAGTGTTTCATAATTGATTCCTTGAGGACCTGTTCCATGATTTTTCCAGGGACTGAGGTGAGGCTGACTGGCCTGTAGTTCCCTGGATCCTCCTCCTTCCCTTTTTTGAGTAATGAGTCTCATGTGTGATGGCTTAAATTACATGGAGTTTTACTGTAGACTAATATACTAAATAAATAATATCCATTGTTTAGCTAGGCCATTCACAAAAGGAAGCTTCCCATGTACATTGATTTCAGATGTATATAAAATACAGAGGTTAGAGTTTCAATGGCTACTTTTAAAAGAGGAAACAGAAACACCACGCTCTGCATGTATGCTTTGGTGGTGGCTTGCTTTCATCCTGCTGTAGTAGCTGTTGGCGTGTTTACTACAATAGAACCTCAGCCTTGCGAACAGCAGAGTTACGAACCGACCAGTTAACCACACACCTCATTTGGCATTGGAAGTACACAATCAGACAGCAGCAGAGACAAAAAAGAAAGAAAGCAAACACAGTACAGTACTATGTTAAATGTAAACTACAAAAAAACAAACAAACCTGGAAAGCAGCATTTTTCTTCTGCATAGTAAAGTTTCAAAGCTGTATTAAGACAATGTTCAGTTGTAAACTTTTGAAAGAACAACCATAACATTTTGTTCAGAGTTACGAACAACCTCCATTCCCGAGGTGTTCGTAACTCTGAGGTTCTACTGCACAGTAAAGATGCTTAATTCTCCTCTGATTAAAGTTTACTGTTGAACAGATTTAACATCATTCTAAATGGCCACTAACAAGAATTAAAAACTAATCTTTGATTTACCAAAAGAGTATAATCTGGAGAGGCCTATGCATTGGATCCTCCTCTCTCTAGTTAAGTCACAAAGCCAATAAAGGCAGGTTTAAAAAGAGAACCCAAAACACACAAATAAGGTTTTTTTGGTCGTATCTTGGTGTTTTAAAAAAAATCTTTCTACATTGCAATTTTTTTCAGTACCTCTGTGAGTGTCAGTTTGATGACAATCTAAAATTTAAGAATATCATTAATGAAGAGGATGCTGATGCTATGCGTCTCCAGCCAATTGGTCGAGACAAGGATGGTCTAATGTATTGGTACCAGCTGGATCAAGAACATAATGTGAGAATGTACGTAGAAGAACAGGATGACCAGGATGGGTCTTCTTGGAAATGCATTGTCAGGTAATTTTGTTCTTTATTTTCTTGTTTATAACTGCAAATTTTAAATGTGATTATCTGTGTCTATGAAGTTCAGATGTTGAATTCAATAAGTATCCTCTTTTCAGAGAGCAGTATTCCTGTCAATTTAATTATCTGTCTTCAGACATACACAGTAGGGAAAAGCACATGCACAACTATGATTTATGAAAAAAACAGCTTGCTGGTTTGTAGGATAATAGCCAATGCATATTTCATTTTATGGTTTATAAGAGAAACACCATCTAGAGTTTAAAGATCACGGTGGATATATGGCAGTAGGATCAGGAGGAGAATTGTGCCCTCTGGAGAATGGTCCCACTATGTCCTGACAATGTGCTAGTGAGGTAAATAGAAAGGAGCATAAACTCTGCCAAATTAAGTGTAAAAATGTAATAAGAAAAGCCAAAGAGGAGTTTGAAGAATGGCTAGTCAAAAACTCAAAAGGTAATAACAAAATGTTTTTTAAGTACATCAGAAGCAGGAAGCCTGCTAAACAACCAGTGGGGCCCCTGGATGATCGAGATACAAAAGGAGCGCTTAAAGATGATAAAATCTTGGCGGAGAAACTAAATGGATTCTTTGCTTCAGTCTTCACGGCTGAGGATGTTAGGGAGATTCCCAAACCTGAGCCGGCTTTTGTAGGTGACAAATCTGAGGAACTGTCACAGATTGAAGTGTCACTAGAGGAGGTTTTGGAATTAATTGTTAAACTTAACATTAACAAGTCACCGGGACCAGATGGCATTCACCCAAGAGTTCTGAAAGAACTCAAATGTGAAGTTGCGGAAATATTAACTATGGTTTGTAACCTGTCCTTTAAATCGGCTTCTGTACCCAATGACTGGAAGATAGCTAATGTAACGCCAATATTTAAAAAGGGCTCTAGAGGTGATCCCAGCAATTACAGACCAGTAAGTCTAACATCAGTACCGGTCAAATTAGTTGAAACAATAGTAAAGAATAAAATTGTCAGACACATAGAAGAACATAAATTGTTGGGCAAAAGTCAACATGGTTTCTGTAAAGGGAAATAGTCTCTTACTAATCTATTAGAGTTCTTTGAAGGGGTCAACAAACATGTGGACAAGGGGGATCCAGTGGACATAGTATACTTAGATTTCCAGAAAGCCTTTGACAAGGTCCCTCACCAAAGGCTCTTACGTAAATTAAGTTGTCATGGGATAAAAGGCAAGGTCCTTTCATGGATTGAGAACTGGTTAAAAGACAGGGAACAAAGGGTAGGAATAAATGTAAATTCTCAGAATGGAGAGGGGTAACTAGTGGTGTTCCCCAAGAGTCAGTCCTAGGACCAATCCTATTCAACATATTCATAAATGATCTGGAGAAAGGGGTAAAAAGTGAGGTGGCAAAGTTTGCAGATGATACTAAACTGCTCAAGACAGTTAAGACCAAAGCAGACTGTGAAGAACTTCAAAAAGATCTCACAAAACTAAGTGATTGGGCAACAAAATGGCAAATGAAATTTAATGTGGATAAATGTAAAGTAATGCACATTGGAAAAAATAACCCCAACTATACATACAATATGATGGGGGCTAATTTAGCTACAGCGAATCAGGAAAAAGGTCTTGGAGTCATCGTGGATAGTTCTCTGAAGATGTCCACACAGTGTGCAGCGGCAGTCAAAAAAGCAAACAGGATGTTAGGAATCATTAAAAAGGGGATAGAGAATAAGAAGGAGAATATCTTATTGCCCTTATATAAATCGATGGTATGCCCACATCTTGAATATTGCGTACAGATGTGGTCTCCTCATCTCAAAAAAGATATACTGGCATTAGAAAAGGTTCAGAGAAGGACAACTAAAATGATTAGGGGTTTGGAACGGGTCCCATATGAGGCGAGATTAAAGAGGCTAAGACTTTTCAGCTTGGAAAAGAGGAGACTAAGGGAGGGGATATGATAGAGGTATATAAGATCATGAATGATATGGAGAAAGTAGATAAGGAAAAGTTATTTACTTATTCCCATAATACAAGAACTAGGGGCCACCAAATGAAATTAATGGGCAGCAGGTTTAAAACAAATAAAAGGAAGTTCTTCACACAGTGCATAGTCAACTTGTGGAACTCCTTGCCTGAGGAGGTTGTGAAGGCTAGGACTATAACAGGGTTTAAAAGAGAACAGGATAAATTCATGGAGGTTAAGTCCATTAATGGCTATTAGCCAGGATGGGTAAGGAATGGTGTCCCTAGCCTCTGTTTGTCAGAGGGTGGAGATGGACGGCAGGAGAGAGATGACTTGATCATTACCTGTTAGGTTCACTCCCTCTGGGGCACCTGGCATTGGCCACTGTCAGCAGACAGGATACTGGGCTAGATGGACCTTTGGTCTGACCCAGCACGGCCGTTCTTATGTTCTAGGGAACATGGAGGAAGACTGTTAATTCTCTAACCTCTTACGCTATCAGTCACAAATTAGTAATGGACAACATTATGCTCTCATTAGAATTGCAGGGTTGAGTTCTAGGCTCATAGAATGCAAAATAATTACTTAATCTAGTACAGGAAGCCAAACACAAGAACCTTCTGAAGTAGAACTCAGATCCTGGATGACTAATGATTGAGTTACAGTGTGCTAGTAACTGCTGAAATGCAGGGGCTCACTGCTCCTCTGAGTTTCAGTGAGCTCTAGCAGTTTAGCCTGGTGACCTTTTCTTGATCTTCTATACTCAAATTAATTCCTTTCATCATTCTTATTAAAATGAAGGAAAGTGTTTTTGTACTATGTAAATATTTCATTTTCTAACATGTACCTGATTGAACTAACCTCGTTATCTCCATACTGATTTATACCTGCCTCTGGAAATTTCCATTACTTGCGTCTGATGAAGTGGGCATTCACCCACGAAAGCTTATGCTCCAATACTTGTTAGTCTTAAAGGTGCCACAGGACCCTCTGTTGCTTTTTACAGATTCAGACTAACATGGCTACCCCTCTGTTACTTAACATGTACCTTGTGTACTGTGGCATATTTTCCAAGGAAGAGTCTTTTAATTTTGAATTTATTTATGTAAAATTTTCAAATGACGGATTTTTAATATATTCTCATGTAGAACCTTTATTTTAAAAAAATCTAGTCAATTCCAAATGTTTTTAAAGCTGGACTCTGATCAAAAGAGAATCGGCATTGAGTAAAATGGTAAACAAACATGGTGAAAGAGATCTCATAAATGCCAAATACCGTCTGTAATTTAAATGATGTGTGTGTATATAGCTATAGCTTTAGCAATTAGTTGTTGAACAAAAAGTCAATTCTCAGTGGGTTACATAACATGACCAGTGTTACCACTTAAGGAGATTTTAGTAGCTGCTTTGTGTAAATAAAGTAAACACAACAAACCAAATCAGCCAAAAGGTAAACTAGGCTCGCCTTGCATCATGCCCCTGTAGACTGCCAAGAGAAAGAGAGGCCAAAAAGCAAAGTAGGATAGGTTTATGCCGAGAGAGCCCTGGCACCATGTGTCTCCTGCTGGTGAAACACAGTAATTGTCTCTGAGATCTGAAGTGGGTTTAAAACCACCAAACTCTCCATGCTAAACTTGCGCATGCTTCAAGGCTTTGGTTTTTTGTGTGTGTAAAACCGAAATTCCTATCCAAAACAACTTGCTAGGTATTTACTTGAGAGCAGAAATATGAGAGCCCTGACTTCTAATCCTACAGTGCAGCATTGCATCCATTTAACCAGCTCTCAAAGCAGGTTGTCTGTTACTGCTCTCTGCTTCCTTACTTAAACGTTTAAATTGGTAACTTTATTTTACTTGATTGAGCATTAATTTCCCCCCATAATCTCTGCATCAGTATAATTAATTTTAAATGTTCAAATTTTCTAGCCTTCTGTGTATTGTTTAGAGTGGGATTTTTGAAAGTACTTAAGTGCTTTTTAAAAATCCACTTTTAAATAATATTATTGCTCTTCTGTTTCATGAGTGCTACACTACAAGGCCTTTCAATGAGGGAATCTGATAATTGCTAAGGAAAACAAATGGGCATTGATGATGATAGATTAATAATTACAAAACTAATGAACAATAGACGCTCAGATCCAAAGCAGGATGTCTGGAGCTTATGGGTTGTTGAGGCCACTCAGAAGGGTCAGCAAGGTAGTTTTAGTTTTACTACAGATAAAATGGCAAGTCGTTTAATCACTAACTGATGGCTATTCTGATTGGATAAAGCCGATCCACTGGTCTTATAGTTTGTAATGCAGCATTCATTTAAGCAGGTGATGTTGTTTTTTGTTTTAGATGGATGGCTTTGGGGAGAGCCAGTAAAGAGCTTTATCAGACAACTTATTTCTTTTCTTTGTCATCCAGAAACCGAAATGAGCTAGCTGAGACGCTTGAGCTTTTGAAAGCACAAATCGATCCTGCACTGTTGAAAAAGAACAACCAGCAGGACAGCTCATCACGTGAAAGCCCTAGCATAGAAGATGAAGATAGCAAAAAGGAGGAAGAAATATCTCCACCAGGTTTTCTACCCTCTTTTTACCACGCTTTAGACATTGTGCTGCGTCATATCAAAATGTTAAACTTCCCGAAAAATGAGACGATTAGAATAGGCCTGTTGTTTTTTTTTTAATTATTTTTTAAGCTAAAATTCTCTGATCCATGTATCAAGGATACATTTTAAACCTTTTCACACATCTTAAAATTCAAAATAATTTGGGTGTGTACTCAGTTTACTTTTTAAAAAAAAAAAAAATTCCAACAAATTACATATACAACTTTCCATTCTTTTAAAAAAATGTAACTTTGTTTTTGTGGTATTTTGTGTAACACCATTGACACTTGACATTTGCTTTCCTATCCCCATCTTTCTTTCATTTGTCATGCATTAGGTTTCAACCCAGCCTCACGTTTCTAATGGACATGAAACTCCTTCCACCCCCCAAATTTGTGTAGTGGTATAAGTGATGTCAAACACCATACCCATAGTTGTGTTGACATTGTCTTTGGCTTTGGCTTTGTATCACAAAATATGGATTTTTCTTCACTTTAGTAACCTATGCTTTAAAATCAAGAGCAACACATGAGTTCAAGATAGTTTTAAATTGTTGGATTTAAGTACAGTATTGTCAGGTATCTTAATAATCCCAATGAAGATCTGTGATGAGCTTTGTTTGATAACAAGCCCTTAACTGTGCACATTTTATTTTTCTCACCAGTGAAGAAACATTACTTCATTCCTTACTGCTTTGACACTGCATATTTCTGATATGTTGCCTAACATATTTGATGTGTTGGGTTTTTAATAGGTATCAGTTAATGTTAAATGCTTCTCCTTGTAGTAAAAGACCTAATTTTTCAGGTTCAAAGCAATTAAAGGCCTGTCTCCCCTGAGGAATCTGGTTTTAAAATTGGTTTGCATTTTGGGGGGGAAATTTCCACAATGGGGACAAGGCTTTCAGGATCACATTGTGCCTTCCGTTACACCCATGCCAATCGTATTAAAGATAGTGAGTGTTATAGGTGTAACTGTGGGCAGAATTTGGCCCAGAGTTCTGGCCTACAAGAGGAAGTATTGCTGTTTCATTGACATTCGATGCATGTTCTTCCAAAGAACTGGTGAAGGGAAGAAGCAATTAATACAATGATATAATATTGTGAGGTGCTGTAGAAACAGGGAAGAAATCTTATTGGACAATTAACTGTATCATTGCTAATATCAATAATTAATACAGAGTATGATCTGTATTGGTTGATATAAGTTTAATATAACTAAGATATTTGACAATGGCTAAAGTTGTAATTACATTGCAAATAAGAGATGATCAAATCTCCCCAATACTACAGAGTTAATTTCAAGCAATGGTCTTGAAATTGGTTCAGTAAAAACTGGTCAGACCAGTTTAAGCTACCTAAACTCAGGGCTATGCTTTGGCTCTAACTGATTGATTTAAAAGTCTGTTTAGCTGAACCAGTTTTAAAACAGTTCTCCAGTATAGACAAGCCAATCATGAGACAAGACAGCACGGTACACCAATCCATCAAAGTTCGCTAACGTCACTACTCATGTTAGGCTAGCATCTGATATGCATTGCTTGTAGAATTTCTAGTGCTAGACAATGGGTTTGTGTCTATACCAGACAATGGAATTACTTGTAGCTGGTTTAGGTACAAACAGTTCAGCACTTAAACCATTCCAGTTGCACAGCCCTCTGGTACCTATCGCACAATCCAAGTAATACTTTCAGAAACCGTATGTTCTGGGAGATCGTGAAATAACATCCTACCCCGGAATGTACTGTTTGTTTGTCCATATCTATACCGGCACTAAATTATTCCATACTAAAACAGTTTAAACGGAACCACTTCTTAAATCTGCTGAAAGTCTACTCTACTCAAATGATGTTTTGAGAGCTTGTAAACAGCTGAAGCCCTCTTTGTGAGTGGATGTGAATGCTTCGATGTAGGGAACTAAATCAGTTCTTAGAATGGGGAATTTGTCCAGCATAGACAAGGATTAGAACGGCGGCTGCCCTCTAATGCTAGAAGCTTGAGGGAGAGGCATAGCCAAGGGAAAAGCGTTGCAAAAGAAAGAGGTCAAAGACAGGGGAAGAGGAAGCGGGAAAAGAGTAGACACAGAAAATGTATCCTACTCTTCTCTCTGGTAAGCACTGCCTTCAAGAAAGCCACTTGCAGCATTGAGAAGTTACAGGGGAAACCAGAGTGTAAATCATCTAAGTAAGGAGGAAAAAATGGGTCTGGACCCTTTGAAATATTGTCCCTGGTTTTGCATTCATGGGGAGTTGACTTCTCTCTCTGACTTCTGAAACTAACTAAATTGGGTTTGGTTTTTCTTTCAAAGTGCCTTGAGTTTCTCCTCACCAATTTTTTTTTCCTTCTATACACTGTTTTCTTGTTTCCTGTTTGAATGTGAGTTAAGCTAGCTCTTGGATTCCCCTTCTTCATTTAGAACTAAACCAGCATTTTGGGAAGCTTTTATCTGGGAAAGGACTTAAGTTAGTGCAGGGGGAAAGTAATAACTTGGTGCTGGGATTTACTGCATTTTGGAATAGCAAGAGCCTTTCAAGTGTTGGAAGATCACACTGCAGAATATGTAGTGCTATTACATCTCATTTTTTGTTGACTTGTATCACACACCTACTGGAAATTGTATCTCAACTTCTGTGCAAAGACCATACCATCTAACTCGGTAGATCTGCTCCCTGCAGTTTTCTCTTATGTACTTGTACTCTGCACTTATTTTGTACGTGTTGGTCCCGTTGAAGTCAACGGGACGTGTGTGTGAAATGAATGCAGAATGTTATTTATTATTTGTATTGTGGTAGCACATAGGAGACCCAGTCATGGACCATGGCCCCGCTAGAGTGCAACAAATCTGGGTGAATTTTGGTTCAGGACATAGTATTGCAGCTTTTCCTCTTCTCTCTGAAACAGAAAAAAATAATAAGCAAACCCTTCTGAAAATATCAATGTGTATAAACAAGAGTGTGGTTTGGATGTGGACACTTCACTTGAAATTCTAGTATAAGGAATTCCGTAAAACATTTTGTCATAGTGAAATAATGCAAACTGTCAAGTCAGACTTCTTTTAAAAACTAGTGTTACAGACCTCGTGCTTAGATTTTATGTACACACTTTTAGAAAAAAATTACTAAAATTGATTAGGGAGCTAAAAGGTCAGCATAAAAAAGATAGATCTGGGGCTCTGCTGATATTCTCTGTTAAGTTTAGAATTATCTCTGGTTTTTAGTTGAACTGAACTGCCATTCTGTCCCATTCTTTAGCTAATATTTGTCAATCAGACGGCAAATGCCAGTGTTAGGCCAAATCCTTAATTTCATTAGAGAGGACTCATTTTGATTGTTGTAGGATGCATCTTTAGCTTTATTTTTTTTATCCTAGAATTCATCTGGTTATGTTATATTATTTTGTTTCTATTTTAACAGGAAATGAATTAAAAATAAAAGAAGAAGAGGAGAACATGGAGGAACAGTCAAAGGAATTGGAAAGCCTTCCTCCACCTACAGTTCCAGCAGATGAAAACATGATGAAAATGGAGAAGGTGGAAGAAAAGGAAATTATAAAACTGCCAGTCATAGTAAAGTTAGAAAAACCTTCAGAAAACAGTGAGGAAAAGCAGATTACCAAAGAAGAAAATGATTCCTTTAAAGAAAATGTCAAGCCTGTTAAAGCAGAAGTGAAGGAAAATAAAGTAGAACCAAAAGATTTAAAAGAAGTAAAAAGCAGCACAGATAAAATAACAGTACATGAGCCTGAGAGATTAGAGTTTTGTGTCAATGTCAAAACCCCTCAAGAAGTTGTGGAGAAATCTGCAGAAGAAAGTGAGAAACTTAAAAATGACCAGCAGGCAAAGATACCACTGAAAAAGCGAGAGATCAAGCTGACAGATGACTATGACAGTCCAATAAAGGGGTCCTTGTGTAAATGTGTTACTCCAACAAAGGATGTCTTGAAAGAGGAAGGAAAACCAGAGGAGGAGGGTTTTAGACGAGTCCCTACAATCACTGCTTTATGTCCTGATGGGAAATTGCTAGTAAATGGAGAGGTTAGCAGTGAAAAAGTCGCCCAAAATGTCACCCAAAATAATAAGTCAGAACATTCCATTAGCACAAAGGAAGACAGCAGCAGCTCATCGAAGGAGAAAAATTGCATAAGTGGGGGGAAAATATCAGACTCTTTAAACTCTGTTAGCAAAATTGTGAAAACATGTGAAGATGAGAAAAATGTGCCTACCAACAAAGAGGTAGCTGCTACGGTCTCTGAGGTTTCTAATCAGAAAGTGCCTTTAAAGGAGGAATCTAGTCTTATGGAAAATGAGTCCCTCGACAGTATGACTTCTGAGGTGGCAATGGAGGACTCGTGGAAAGCAGGATACTGCCCCAAGAAACCTGAAGAGAAATTAGCTTTGAAAACCAGGAAGGACAGACGACCACCACTCAAAGAATGTTTAGAAAAGCTGGAAAAGTCCATGAAGACATCCACTCCTAAGGAGCCACCCAAGCTTGATCTAACAGATGAAGAGGGTTTGAAAAGTAATAATGAACTGGAGAAGAAATCTGACTCTCCAAAAGCAGGTGAAACACCTCCATCGTCTATTCCTCCTGTTCCTTCCGAGAAATCTGCTTTAGAAAAAGAGGGCTCAGATTCCAAAAACATACTTCCTGATGAAAGCAAAGTTCCGGAAGGATCAGATTCAGAAAAACAAAAGGAGGAATTTGAAGCTCCCCAGACAGAACCAGATAAACAAGATAATGCCCAAACCTCTAATATAGAGGAGTCTTCAGAGACTAAAAAGGAATCTGCAGTACAAAAAAGCAAATTTAAATATAAACTGGTTTCTGAAGAGAACATCTGTGTAACAGATAACAAGGAAATAACCTCCGAGAGGCAGAAGGAAGGGATCAAGTTAACCATCAGGATCTCCAGTAGAAAGAAAAAGCCTGATCCACCTCCAAAGACTCAGGACACCGAGCAGAAGGAAGAGGAGGAAGTCAATGTTGGTCGCACTTTAAGGAGGTCTCCAAGAATATCTAAACCTACTCCAAAAGTGGTGGAGACTCGGGATCAGAAAACTGACAAAAAACGAGGTGAAGAAGAGGAGGAGAAACTGGCAGTGCTGCAAAAGCAAGACCGAAGAGAGGATGTGAAAAAACAAGAGAAGGAGTCCAATTCTAAAGTGAGCAAGGTAACACCATTATAGTGCACAGGAGGAGATGGTTGTTTTCGATCTAAGGAAAACACATTTGTGGAGGAATGTTGAGAAACATGCCATTATGGTTAATTTATGCATGTTACTAGTCCAGTAACTTCTTTAGGTCAGTGACTGATCTGAAAACAGCCCCCAGGAGAGTGCGAATAGCTATTAACATCATAATTTGTAAGTGTCAGAATTCTTACGTTGAACCTGGTTTTAGAATAACTAGTGCAAATTATTTTATTTTCTAGAGGAGCGTATCCTTATTAATCAAACCTTCAGGATGCTTTAAATCCTATAGGTCGGATGCTTTAACCATGAATAAGATGCTGAAGATTGACTGTGTGATGTATATGCTGATGCTTGGTCAATTTGATGATGATGGCGGATAGATGGCAATAGGAAAAATGTTAGAGTAAAGTAGTAATATGTAGAATTTAACAGGAGTTTTGTTCTTGAGAGTAGCTGAACCACTTTTAGAGGGATTATGAGGGAATTTCTTATCTAGGCTGAATGTAGGTTTTATTTTGGGTTCAGAAAGTTGTTTTGCATGAGAAGTTTGTCTTTCAGGCACAGTTTTAAAGTTTTTATAGAGTAGAAATGATAGTGAGCTTGCAGGTAGAAGACATGTACAGCCTGCTATTAGCCATGCTGTGACTCTATTTTCTTTTTGACCTGTATGCCTTCCTGAAAAGCTAATTAAAATACATTTAAAAAACAGGAAGATAGAGGCAATATTTTTCTTTTTAAAAGTGTCCTTGGTAAAAGGACAGTGTCAACTTGAAATCTAGTTAATTTCAAAAATGAATAACTAGTTTTTTTTTTCAGGTGCTATTCCTCTTCTGAATCCCCTTACTAGCTTTCGTAGTTCTACAAACACCTTTTTCTCTGTTTAAAAAAAGTTTTTTTTCTCTCTTCTGTTGGGGAGTGAATAACCTTCACAAACAAAATGAGAAATTGACCTTATAGGGGACAGGTGAAACTGTTCTATAGTAAGTGCTGTCAAATGCCTTACATAAAGTGCAAATTACTGAGATTTTTTTCATCTTTCAGTTCTGGTAATAATAGGTGCTACAAGTAACAATATGTTAAAATTGAAACAAGTATGGTCTTAAATGGACATAGCTTTTGAAAGACTTAATGATCTAAATATGTGTAGTGAGATGCAAAAATTAATATAATAGAGAATTTGGGGCCTGGTCTCCTTGTATAGAACATACACATGCACACAGTCCTCCCAGACATCTCCAACCCCACAGGCAGAGAGAACGCTTAATGATGACAGCAATTTATCTCTTACAATATGATGATTCTAAAAGTAAAATAAAAGTCACATTCTGTCATTTGTTTTTCTAAAAGGAAGCAATGAGAGAAATATATTCTCTTTGGATTGAGGAAAGGCAGTTTTAAAATAAGGTTTATTGTACTCTGGAGGGGAAAAGTTTACGTGTTAAAGTTCTCATGTTCACTATGCAAAATTACCTTGTCAAAGTAGAAATTTTAGATTTTGATAGCTCAACAAAGGAGTGGAGTCACATTCTAAAGCTTCGTCTTCACGTCTTTTAAACCTCACCTGAAGCATTTTCTTTGCCTGTACCTCTTAATTTCCTTTTTTCCTTTAGTTGTAATTAGTTCTGTAAGGATTTTTGTACTCAATGAAAGATCTACTCATTGAAGCTGCTCTATGAGGGGAGAGGGATAGCTCAGTGGTTTGAGCATTGGCCTGCTAAACCCAAGGTTGTGAGTTCAATCCTTGAGGGGGCCATTAGGGATCTAGGACAAAAATCTGTCTGGGGATTGGTCCTGCTTTGAGTAGGGGGTTGGACTGGATGACCTCCTGGGGTCCCTACCAACCCTGGTATTCTATGATCATGCTACATTTTCCTGTAGCTGTTCTGATTGAAATGAATCAGTTCATTTTAGAGAACATTTACTCAAACTTAAAAGTGTGATGGTCTTTTTAACTTAGAAAACCCACAGTGTAAATGACAAGGCAATGTAAGAGCCTTTTGCTGCGTTTTATCTTTGGACCACTAGGTCACACCGAGAAACAAAGTGCGGTGGACAGGAACTCGAACACGTGGCAGGTGGAGATATTCAAGTAATGAAGACAGCGAGGAGTCTGAGACCGAAGAAAACTCTGAGGAGGAATCTGAGGGGGGAGAGGAAGAAGAGGAACCTGCACCTGCTGATGATGATGAACCATGCAAGAAGTGTGGCCTTCCCAATCACCCTGAGCTAGTATGTTCTTGATCTACAAAATAGTGTGATGGGAAAAAACTTCCATTAATCACCCTGAAAGTGATGGTTTTTTAGACTAGTAATGTGTAAAACATCGCTATTTCTGCCATGAGAGAGCTTTCTTCTGAGAGATGAATGGTATTTTATGATCAACAATCCCTCCCTGGGAAAAGCGATGGGGCAGGTTTAATAGGTGGCAACAGGAAGGGGACATGGATAAGACTGCAATATGTCCACTAGTCATCTTAATACAAACAGGCTTTTAATGCTGTGGGTATGCCCTGATGGCTTGGGGCTAAGATGAAATCTGCTTCCAGCATGGCCCCCCTCACATCGCTTGTCCTGTCTGCTTCCAGTCTGGATCTTGCTGACTGACATGATGGTGGCCGGAGGAGGAGGAGGCAGGATTCAGAATCCAGCTTGATCTCTTCAGCCTTCCCCAACATTTACTCTCTCTCCCTTCCTCCTACCAGTTCTGAGTCTCATGTTGGGAAAAGGGAGGGTGTATGAGACAGATGATTATTCCTGGAGCAATTCTGCGCCAAAAAACTAAAAGTTCTGCACACAATATTTTAAAATCCTGCATATGTTATTTATTTGTCAAAATAATACAATATAATCATGCCAGTTTCAATTAGTTTGGTGATTTATTTCAAAATACCTGTCAACAAGTGTGTGTGTAACAATACAGACAACAAAAAAGATTCAGGAAATGTTTTTTTGACAAATAGATTTCTTACAAGTCATATTAATACAGAACTTTGAGTAATAATTCATTTAAACTACAATATAGAAACATATTTCCCGCACCCCTCAGAAGTAATGCAAAGGCTTAGGGAGTCAGGGATAATGGAGGACCTGAAGGAGAGGGAAGTAATTGCTGGGAAGGAGCCTGGGAGTGAATCTGGGGGGTTGTTGCGCGGGAGGAGAGTGTTATGGAGTTAGGGTCTGCATGGGGGAGGCTCCCCATCTAACCTTAGTCTCTCCCATTCAGTCAGGCACATCTGCCCCTGTCCCCATGCAGAGGTGATGCATGGGGGGAGGGAGGGAGGGCAACCCTCTCTCCCCCTCCCCCCCCCGCCCCGATTGCTCAGCCACATGGTGTGGCCAGGCCCCCTCCCTGTGGAGCAGCTGAGCTGGCGAGCTGTGCCAGGCAGAGAGAGACAGGAGAAACCGCTGGAAGCTGTGGGGTGGGGCTGCTGCTTTAACTCTGCTGGGGAAAGCAGGAGGAATAGCTAGGAGCTGCAGAGAGGGGCTGCTGCTTTCTGGGACGGGCGGGGTCCAGCTTTCCTGAAGGGGGGGGCTACCTGGGGAGCGAGTGACTTGAGCTGTTCTGGGGTTGTGGCCCCCCCCCCCGCCACTATCAGCAGGTCTGGGTCATCTCTGTCCCCATGTGTCCCTGCACCCCCACTCAGCCATGCCTCCTCCCCATCCGTCCCTGTACCCCCATCTGGCCTTGCATCCCTACTCCCATTCAGCCCCTGCCCTAGTCTGTCTCCATCCACTGGCCCTTCTGAACCCCATTCTGAGACCACCCCAGCAGCACCTTGTGCCCCACTCTGTCCCCCTATATCCCGTGCCTCCTCCCCTGGCCCCGCGGGCAGGGCACTGTGAGGAATGCAGCCCCTCTCCCACCCTATCAGCTGCTGACTGCTGCAGCTGGTGAGCCAGCCGCCCTCTGTTCTGGTGCCATAGCAGCCTTTGGTGGCAAAAGGCATAACTGCAGAGCCTCTCCAGCAGAATGTATTTTCTGCAGAGGAAAAAAAACCCTGTATGGGACATGAATTCTGTGCGTGCGCAGTGGTGCAGAATTCCCCCAGGAGTAGATCATTCTCTGGCCTCCTTATTGGGCAACAGCTAGCTTTTAACCTTCATTGTGTGATGTTTTTGATCCCTTTGACATCACAGGCAGAGAATTGGGACCATTTACTTGGAACCAAGAGGGAAGAGTGCAAGTTCGTTTCACCCCCTAGGATGTCTTATCTTTTATAGTGTATACTCTATTATGTTTGTACATATCACCATGAAGATCTGACTTGGTTGAGGCCTCTAGGTTACTAGAACATAACATAAGAATGGGCATAGTGGGTCAGACCAAAGGTCCATCTAGCCCAGTATCCTGTCTTCTGACAGTGGCCAATGCCAGGTGCTTCAGAGGGAATGAACGGAACAGGTAATCATCAAGTGATCCATCCCGTCACCCATTCCCAGCTTCTGGCAAACAGAGGCTAGGGACACCATCCCTGCCCATCCTGGCTAATAACCATTGATGGACCTCCATGAATTTATCTTCTTTTTTGAACCCTACTACTGTAATATAAATGAATAAATCACACACACACACACACACACACACTATTCTAAACGAACATTAAGGTTGCAAAGTCAAGCAGCTCAGAAGTTAGGAAAAGGCAAAATTAAGGTTCCCATGCAATCTTAATTGAGCCCCTTTGTACATATGCATTATGGGAGAGTCTTAATTACATGATCATATATTATTTTTCCGCAGGCCCCTTACCTCATTCAGTGTACAGGATGGATGGTGCTCAATTAATGAGCAGCTATTCAATATTTTGTTTTAACCTCCATTGTTCAATATATGCACCCTATTCAAACCCTGTTCGGAAAACAGAATTATTAATTTCCTCATGGACTTTCTATGGCACTCAGACTATATTATATCTGAGTGTTTCACAAATGTTCATTTATTTTCAGAACACCTCTTGTTAGGAAAGGGGCTGTTATTATCACCATTTTATAGATGGGGAGCTAAGGCACAGAGTACTTAAGGTCAAAAGTGTCCACTAATTTGGGGTTTCCAATTTCAGACTTCAGCACCTGATTTTTCAGAGTATGTAGCATTATATGGTGCTTTGTGTTTAAAGCACAATTGTGTCTGTCAGTACTCGGCACATCTGCAAATCAGAACCCAGGATCTCAAATTAGGCATGCCGAGGATGAGAAGCGCACAGTTAGTGGCCGCCTGTTAAAAGTTGGGTTGAAGTGGCTTGCAGAGCATCACAAAGGAACTCTATGGCAGAAACCGGGATAGAAACCAGTTTTTTACAACAGACTTATATAGCTTTAACCATGAAATCATCCTTTCTCTTCCTGTAGTCCCCTTCCTCATTCACTACACACCTTCCAAGTTCTGCAACAAATGAGGCAGGGATCCTGTGAAAAATAAATATGTAACTAAAGACTTTATCATAAATACAAGAGTAGCAAATTAAAGTTTCCTAGGCAACCCCTAATTCTGGCATTTTCTAACTTTTGAGTACTTGCCTTCACAGCCTTAATTTTCCTCTAATGTCACTTTTTGGCATGTAATAGTCACTTTAATTGCAGACTGAAGTCAGAACACTTTTTCTCCATGATAAACTGAATAAAAAGAAACGATCAGACTTCTCACCCGGTTCACTCTGCTTTATTTTTAAAAATCAGTTCGGATATTTATGAAGTAAGTGCACAATCATGTAGTTTGAAAACTACTTGCGGCCCAGTATAAAAAACAAGTGTTCAGAAATCATCCCGCTTGGTGCCATTTAATGTATAATAAAGTCCAGGCCCATAAAGGTCCAGACCCAGAATTTAAACATTAAAAACATCTTTTATATGAAATTTTAAATAAGACAATTATGACATATCCTGAATGTAAAACCCCATGCCGTTTGGTGATGAAACATTGGGTTTTACATTCTGGGTATGTCCTTTGGAATAATAAGGGTGGATTACTTTTCCCCCCCTAAATAAGCTATGGGGCAACAATCTGTGCCTTTTTTAGAGGTCATTACTTTTTCTCTAACTCTTATGACATGGGGTTTACTGTGCGTGTGCATTAAAGGAAAACTCCAGGGCAATATATGATCCTCTGATGATTACTTAAATAATTCACCAAAAACTGGGTCTTATATATAACAAAGAATTAATTAAATAGGAAGCTGCAATACGGGGTATCTGAGAATGCAGGGTAGGACTTGAGAGAAACAGAGAACCCACTTGTGTGGATAGGAAAGGAAATGTAAGGGGTAAATTTTCAGAAAAGCCACTGCTATGTTCAGCTTTGAAAGTTCTTGCTCTTCCATGTGGAATCAGCAACCTAGTCTCAATCTGCATCATATGTCTGGAGTGCTTGCTGAGATGTATCATCATTTGCAGCTTCATCTGAGGCCATTCTCATTTGTGAAGGTAATGTGACAAGTGTTTCCTAAAAACTGTTCTAGAGATCCATTTTGCATAAGTATATGTTCATATGCAGTAAATTAACTATTTAAGGATCATAACTTATCACTGGAGTTTTCCTTTATATTTTTTCAATATTGTAAGATGCTGAATATTACAATATTTTAAATGGAATGGAATTCATAAGAAAAGCATAGCCTGAATATCCGTGAAGACTTCCTGACATCGAGTTTCTTTAGAAGTGGCATTATCTGCTCAGTGAAGTGCTGAAAACCCCATTGCTTGAGATGCTTACCACTAAATTGAACAAAGGACTGATAGATGACTATTCTCTATAGCATTTTATCTCTAATTTCTACAGTTCTGCTTTAACAACACTTGCCACTCATCTTTAACATTTATATTTATCCGGCAAATCATAATGCTCACTCATGCCATTAATCCACAAAGTAAGCGTTCTTTTAGTTATGTGACAGACATGCCAGCATGGTTGAGACCACTTTAGTAGCTCCTTGAATGAATTGCGTACTCCAGTGGATGTGCACACAATTCACATCAACTTTGCCATCTCCTGTTTGATGGAAAAGAGGCATCTAGGGTTTTACTCTGATAAATCAATATGCATTTTAACAGCTTCCTAATTCTGTGTTCTCCTATGATTCTAGACAATCCAGATAGGGTTTGTTTGTGTCTGTACACATGATAAACAATCCAGAGTTAAGGCTGAACATCCTGGTACATCAACTGTTCCATGAAAAGACATGTTTTGTCTTTCCATAAAACCCTAGAAATAAGTGATTTTGGAGGTTCTGAAGTTTGTACGGATCAGAATATTTATGCAGTTGTTTCAGCACTGCCTAGAAAATAGCTTTAGAACTTGTTACCTGCCAAGAGGTGCAAACTGATGCTAATCTTTTACTTTGTTTCCACAGATTCTGTTGTGTGACTCTTGTGACAGTGGATACCACACAGCCTGCCTTCGACCCCCATTGATGATAATCCCAGATGGAGAGTGGTTCTGCCCACCTTGCCAACATGTATGCTTTCTAGTTGACTAGTTTTCATCTCTGCTAGATGTTGTGGAGAATCATTGTTTGATTAACAAACTATTTCTGGTAACCATCTTTCTCAATTAAAAAATAACCTCTCATTTGGGATGCATTGCCTCAACCATCCCCCTGCTCTGTTATTAAACCAAGCTGGAGATAACCTTTTCCTCACGCTTTTTTCTTTTTTTCGTTATTAGTAGATGGCTATTGTACTGCTTAACAGAATCAGTTCTTTCCTACCTTTGCAAAGGTTACATCAAGGAAACAGTAGAATTGGAAATATTCATTCTCTTAATTTTTCCTGTAAGAAAGACTGAATGTGGGAAGTGCAGCGCTAGTCAAGGAAGCAGGAGCTCTGGTTGAAACCCACTTCCCTCCCCAGACCTACTGGTTGGAACATGCAGCCAGTTGCCTGTAACAAGCCAGCAGGAGCATGTTTGTGATCTGCCAGTCGGTCTCTGCTGAGAGCGAGTGCTGTCACTGCCTAGCAGCAGGCAAATTTCAGTGCTTCCTCTAATGAGGCTAGATGCTACTAAAAAGTATTTCAGTGCAAACATATGGCTGGCCTTCATGTGAAATAGAAGATGCAAAAATAGTGAGTTCTTCAGTGTAGATGCCTGGAGTTTTAAAGGCCGTAGTGTGACTAATACTTTTCCTGCTGCAGTGATTGGGGAAGAATTAGGCACATTAGAGAGGCAGCCTAGAGGATCTCATACCCCATCTTTGCTTCCAAAACAGCTAGATCACTTGCATGTCACAAAGCAGGGCTGCTGCTGTGCAAAAGATCCTGATCAGTGATGATGTATAGTTTGTATTGTGCATCAAAATTTGCCTGTTTCTGTGGTCTTAAGTATTTTTTTAATTTAAATAATTATTGGGTTGAGAGTGTAAGAATTTTTTCTTTACAAATGAAGTTAGAAGTGCTACTCGTACCTGATTATATATAAAGCACCTCCCCACCAAGGTGCTAAGGGCACTGTTGACTAATTCCTAGTAAGTACATAATAAGAAAAAAAAAACCACCTAAAACTACAAAAAAGACCAACGGAAAGTATATGATGGGAGAGGAAGAATGGATGGGAGAGAACAAATCACATCTTCAAAAGAGAAGTTTTAAATGTGATCAAAGGGGAAAAGTTCTACAGTGATTGCAATAAAAACACTTTTGGGGAGAACTTTTGCACATGTAACAAGTGTAATGGGAAAAGGCAGGTCTCCTGCTGAGAGACCAAAGCAAGTTCTTCTCATAGGGGCCACTTACTTGTAACAAAGATCTAAGACATAATGTTAGAATCCCTACAAAGCAAGTGATATATCTGTGAATAATAGCCACCTACATGATGACTTGATTATTATCTTGATATTAGATGTGGATATAAGGTCTTATATCATACAAAACATTTTATTTTTTTTATAATAATCAATAAATGGAAACTTAGTGCTATGTGTTTTCCAATGAAATAATAAAAATTAAAGTTTACAATCTAAAAAGATAAACAATAAATGAAGTGTGGGAAAGAGGACTAAAACACACTATGTATGTATGTATATAAATAAAATAAAATACAAACTACCTCCCAGTTACCTTTCTGCTAACTATACAGATTTTAAAATAAAAAAACAGGGAATCATTTAGAAGTATGTTTATTCTAAACACTCATCTTTAATACATGCACTGGGCAGACTGCTTTCTACAATAGATACCACTCATTGGAAGGGTTTATCTCTCTAGCAAAATGTATTGAAATTTGTGCCAAAGTGTACCTTAAATTTAGAAGACTGAACCTTCACTACATGCCATGTTCTTGCCGAGTGGGTATTCCAACAGAAGTAATATTGTGTTGCTACACCACTAAAGTCTCTGGCAGAGATTAAATTAACATAATAATCTTAGGCCATATACAGGGAAATGCAAAGAAAACTAGGAATTTAGTTTTAAGTATTCCACATGTAGACACTTATCCCTATTCCAGAGATCACTAAGGCAAATGTGAAAACGGTGCATTAAGTGTCTGAATAAACTGATGAATGAAGGTATTTGTTTATGCAAGAAACTGATACTGTGTATTATCCCCTCAGAAATTACTCTGTGAGAAGTTAGAAGAACAATTGCAAGATCTGGATGTTGTCTTGAAAAAGAAGGAGCGGGCAGAGCGAAGGTACTGAAACCTAGTTGGTTGTGTTCACAAACTGCTCACAGTGAGTTGCTAGGCAAAGAGGCGGAAGTAATTGATCAAGCGTTAAATGGACCTGGATAAGTATGTTAATGAGACCTTGAGCTGATAAGTTTGTTTTTGATTAATACCCACGAACTTCCTATTAATCAGGGAGTTTACTGCTGGCAGCAAATCTGGAGATGCTTACAAGAGAGTAAAACAGAAGTCCAGTAGTTAAAGATGAGGGGATGGTGTTTACCAAGGTTCAGTCATGGCTTCTGAACATGGTTTGGTCCTGCCTACACTTGCAGTTAAATAATTTTCAGCACTGGTTCATCTGCACCCTTTGCTAAGACAGTCAGCAATGTGTAAATTTCCTAGTGTAGGCAAGTTCTGAATCACCTGACTTGGCTACAGAAGTTTCTAATGTAATGTGCCTTACAGACTTCTGTTGCCTTTTTCACCTAGATTAGTCTGAAACTTCATCTACACTACAGGATCACACTATTGCATGTTACAGTAGTCTCAAGTTGTAACTTGAGATATAGCTCAGTGTCCATCCTAGCAGTCATCCTGGTTAGTGTAAATCAACACTGTGTGTCCACAAACAGAATTTCTTCCAACTGTTGCAGTAACAGTGCATTGTGCATAGCAGTCCCACAGTTCCCAGCACAGATATCTGAAACAGGTTTGTGAGTAGCAATCCACAGTTGGGAGAGGCGCAGTAGTTCTTAAAACATTAATTGTGTGCCTTTAAAAATTAACTTTAACACATGCACAGTAAAGAAATTTTGATTCTCTTTTTATTTACGATATTGTATGTGGTTCAAGTCAGAGCCATGGCTTTCTGTTTTGTCTGTTTTTATAAAATGGGTTTTGTATTAAAGTTATATTAATGCAATATTAACAGTTGAAAACTTTAAAAGGTGGGAAATACAAAAGTTAAGGTACCCCCTAGCAATGTCAACTCTTCCACATAGCTCATGTATAGTATTTTTGCATTCCTAAATGTTCTAGTAGCACACACTTTATTAATGCTATCAGACTTGTCTTCTTTATCACCAGTCTATCTTGCTTTTTAAATTTGCAGCCTAAGTGTTGCATTATTGTTAGTTTTGTAATTTTTACAGAACAGCATGCTGTTCAAATGTTACATCTGTTTTATATGGTGAAAATTACTATAAGAACAAACATTCAACAGTCTGATCCTCCAGCCAAAATAGTCTAGTTTCCTCTTCTACATTTGATTTTTGCTGCTTTTTGAAGCGTCTGATCTCTATTGGTGGGAAAGGCAGGGCAGTAAACTTGATGGCACAATTTTCTAATCTGGCAGGAGTCCAGTGCTGCTTTATTGTGGTATGTTACAGGGTAATCATGGTGAAGAGGGTAGAAATCCTGACACAGTGGTGTTGGAAAAAGTCCAGGGTCCTGGTTTTTATCACAGTACGAGTACAGTTCTTAGCTAAAATGGGAAAATAAAGGTTATTTGGGGCACAAGAGCAGACAGGTGTTAAGACACTATTTGCTGTACCAGAGCTCAACTTTGTAAACCTATGTTAGCTCTTCATGTTTTTTAGTCTTTTCCTTTGGTGGAAAAAGAACCCCCTGAAGGAATTAAAGCTCTCACTAAGAGTACAATGGTCTGATCCTTTGTGTCACTGCAGTCACACTGCTAAGTCTCCTAGTTTTGATTATTTCCCATGCAGCCCAGGGTTTAACTTGGCAACATTCAAGGTTCTCATTGAAATTGGTTTAGCTATTCAGCAACACATCCATACACATCCCCAAAATGGCAGGTTATGGCTAACTTATTTTTAATGAAAATCATTGACTCCGTGGTGGCAATAACAGTTGTGACAAAAATGTAGACTTGGGTCAAAATCTTTCTCCTTCTACTCCAGGCTTACTGAATTTCAGGTTTTTCATTTATATACCTACTAACGTTTATAACCATGTCCTGCCACCAGATGGAAGCAAAGGCCACTGAAGATTTTGCTGATACTGTTTTGCATTTAAATCAGGGGTTCTCAAACCTTGTCAGAGGGTGCACCATATCTTTTGATAGTGTCTCCTGGGACTACTTTCCAGTTCCTGGTCACCTCTTAACCCATGCCCAGTCTCATGGATTGCCTCCTCTCATTCGTAATATTATATCATCCCTGTGGCAACTGCTGCAGTAAATTACACAGAAAAATAATAAAAACAACAAGGAGTCCTTTTGGCACCTTAGAGACTAACAAATTTATTTGGGCATAAGCTTTCGTGGGATATAACCCACTTCATCAGATGCATGGAGTGGAAAATACAGCAAGCAGGTATAAATATACAGCACATGAAAAGAAAGGAGTTGCCTACCAAGTGGGGGGTCAGTGCTAACGAGGCTAATTCAGTTAGGGTGGATGTGGCCCATTCCCAACAGTTGACAAGAAGGGGTGAATATCAACAGAGGGAAAATTATTTTTTGCAGTGACCCAGCCAATCCCAGTCTTTATTCAGGCCTAATTTGATGGTGTCAAGGTTGCAAATTAATTCCAGTTCTGCAGTTTCTCGTTTTTGAAGTTTTGAAGTCTGTTTTTGAAGTTTTTTTTATTGAAGAATGGAGACTTTTAAGTCTGTTATTAAGTGTCCAGGGAGATTGAAGTCCTCTCTTACGGGTTTTTGAATGTTACAATTCTTGATGTCTGATTTGTGTCCATTTATTCTTTTGCGTAGAGATTGTCCGGTTTGGCCAATGTACATGGCAGAGGGGCATTGCTGGCACATGATGGCATATATCACATTGGTAGATGTGCAGGTGAATGAGCCCTTGATGGTGTGGCTGATGTGGTTGGGTCCAATGATGGTGTCCCTTGAATAGATATGCGGACAGAGTTGGCAACAGGGTTTGTTGCAGGGGTTGGTTCCTGGGTTAGTGTTTTTGTTGTGTGGTGTGTAGTTGCTGGTGAGTATTTGCTTCAAGTTGGGGGGCTGTCTGTAAGCGAGGACTGGCCTGTCTCCCAAGGTCTGTGAAAGTGAGGGATCGTCCTTCAGGATAAGTTGTAGATCCTTGATGATGCGCTGGAGAGGTATTAGTTGGGGGCTGTAGGTGACGGCTAGTGGCATTCTGTTACTTTTTTTGTTGGGCCTGTCCTGTAGTAGGTGACTTCTGGGTACCCTTCTGGCTCTATCAATCTGTTTCTTTACTTCCCAAGGTTGGTATTGTAGTTTTAAGAACACCTGATAGAGATCTTGTAGGTGTTTGTCTCTGTCTGAGGGATTGGAGCAAATGCGGTTGTATCTGAAGGTTTGGCTGTAGACAATGGATCGTGTGATGTGGTCTGGATGAAAGCTGGAGGCATGTAGGTAAGTATAGTCGTCGGTAGGTTTCCGGTATAGGGTGGTGTTTATGTGACCATCGCTTATTTATACGGTAGTGTCAGGAAGTGGATCTCTTGCGTGGACTCGTCCAGGCTGAGGTTGATGGTGTGGTGGAAACTGTTGAAATCCAGGTGGAATTCCTCAAGGGCCTCCTTTCCATGGGTCCAGATGATGAAGATGTCATCAATGAGAAACTGCAGAATTGGAATTAATTTGCAACCTTGACACCATCAAATTAGGCCTGAATAAAGACTGGGAGTGGCTGGGTCACTACAAAAAATAATTTTCCCTCTGCTGAAAATCACCCCTTCTTGTCAACTGTTGGGAATGGGCCACATCCACCCTAATTGAATTGGCCTCATTAGCACTGACCCCTCACTTGGTAGGCAACTCCCATCTTTTCATGTGCTGTATATTTATACCTGCTTGCTGTATTTTCCACTCCATGCATCTGATGAACTGGGTTATATCCCACAAAAGCTTAGGCTGAAATACATTGGTTAGTCTCTAAGGTGCCACAAGGACTCCTCGTTGTATTTACAGATACAGACTAACACACGGCTACCCCTCTGAAAAATAATAGTACGAGATAATGTATATGTAGGTTCTTTTAATGCAGTTTAACAGTTAGAGATAAGGAAAGCCAGTACATCTCCATGGCAGGCAGTTTGAGAACTCCTAGTTTAAATGTTGAGCTTTCATTTGTTCCTGCTTGGTAAGGAAGGTACACGCTATTTCATCTGCCTGTTTAATATAAGACCTTTGCTACAACATTGCAGGCTCCATCCTTAATGCTGTTTTTTTATCCCCTAATTTCCTACACAACCTGTTGGGTTCCTGACTGTCAGAATTAGGATCAGTACTTGAGACCTTCTCTAGTAAAACCTGGTTGAATTTTACTCTTCATTCCCTTGTTGTACTTGATTTTTTTGCTTCATAGGAAGTAAGTGGAAGAGGCAATGAATCCCAGTACAGAAGAAAATTTGATGATTATTAAAGCTTTTACATCTGTGTTCTCCCCTTTAGCAGCTTCTTCTCTTGCATCAAGAGATTATTTTTCAAGCATTTTCCTTAGTTTAAATCTGCTAGACAAATGATGAAGCAATTTTCTCTCCATCCACCCAGGTCTCATAGCACTCAGAGGGAGAGAAAGTTTCTTTTTGATTTATAAGGTTAGGGAACTGGCACTGGGATAGAAAAGTAAGTACTTTACTTTCAAATAAAGCCAAAAATGTCAGTGCAGGTGTTACCCTACAGTAATATAAAATTTTGACAGCATGTGGCCTCGTTACTACAGCTATTGGAGAACTATCCAGAATCCACTTTACTGTTTTGTCAGCTTTCTTTTAAAAACAGTATTTGCTGCTTTTACTTAAGAAAAAGATTGGACATACTCTTTTTCTGCAATCAGTTCGTTAGAAGGATATTGAGAAAAGGAAATCTTATTCAGATGTCCAGTCATAAGAATATTTGAAAATCTTGATCTGCTACCAGACAAATGCAAACATTGGGAAACATATTTTCATAGATAGATGCTTGCAATTGTGTACATGTGTATATATATGTGCTCCAAACTAACACATGCAAATATAAAGTTAATATGCATATCAGATATTTGTGCATATGTGTGAACAGTTAGGTGCATAGACAATGCATGCAAATGTGATTTGCACATGCAGTTGCTTACTGCTAACTTTAAAAACTGGTTCTGATTGACAGTACAGTCGTCCAGGATCTGTTTCAGCTCATAAAAACACATAAGTCTAGCCCTTTGGCCTTAATTCTTGCTTTCTGTTTTAACAGTACAGTAGAACCTCAAGAGTTATGAACACCTCGGGAATGGAGGTTGTTCGTAACTCTGAAATGTTCGTCATTCTGAAGAAAACGTTATTGTTCTTTCAAAAGTTTACAACTGAACATTGACTTAATACAGCTTTGCAGCTATGCAGAAGAAAAATGCTGCTTTTAACCATCTTAATTTAAATGAAACAAGCACAGAAACAGTTTCCTGAGCTTGTCAAATCTTTTTTTAAACCTTCCCTTTATTTTGTTAGTAGTTTACGTTTAACGCAGTACTTTACTGTATTTGCTTTTTTTTTGTCTCTGCTGCTGCCTGATTGCGCACTTCCAGTTTCAAATGTGGTGTGTGGTTGATCAGTCAGTTCGTAACTCTGGTGTTCGTAACGCTGAGGTTCTATTGTAGCAATGCTTCATGGAATACTGTAGTGTGGAGATGAAGAAGAGCTATTAGGTTACATCTAGTCCATCCCCTGCCAGCATGTAATTGCTCTCTACAGTATATTTCTTAGCATATTATATTGTCTGGTCTACATTTAAATTCCTCAAGAGATGTGGCTTCCCTTGGGAGACTCTTCCACAGCCTAACGGCTCTGTTTTTCTAGATATTCAACAGTTGCTTTATTTTCTAAATTTTGATCTGTTATACTAGTTACCCTCCCTCATACCACAGTAACCCATTCCTCTCCTTCCTTGGTGTCTGTTCCCTTCAGACATTTGCAGTTGTCTGAACACCAGTTTCACGTGTAAAGGAAATTGTGATCCTTCAAGACTTAGGAAATAATACCTACTAACTTTAATCAAGGTCTGAAAACTTGTATTTTGTAGTGAAACAACTCATAGGGCTGCTTCTGCGGAACTGCATGAACAGTTTTGAATGATACTGATTAGATCATTGTTTTAAATCTGTACCATCTTACAAACAGGCTCCTTGTGAACTATTTTTAATTTTCTTTCTCTCCCAAGGAAAGAGCGATTGGTGTATGTGGGTATCAGTATTGAGAACATCATCCCACCACAAGTAAGTTGACTCAGCTTTGTTCTATTGTTCTTTCATTTCGTAAATGTGTTTACTGCAATAAGTGACTTACTTCAGTCTGTTTCCAAAAAAAAAAAAAAAAAAGATACTAACATAAGATTTGCATAATTTTTAAAAGGAAACTGTCAACATTGTTTAGTAGTTTCATTTGGTAAAATTTTGAACCTATTGTGTTAAGCATATGCTTAAGTTCTTTGCTGAATCAGGGCCTAAATACAGTTTTACGGCTCTATATTGTAATTTGCTGTTTTGTGTATTGATAATGAAACTAATTTAAGTCCTTTTAGTATATCTAGCTTGATGAAAAAATCATTTCTGGACTGCTCCAAAGAGTGGCTTCACAAAGAAATTGCCCACCCTGCATCATTACTCAACAGTCCCTATGTGGTCACAGGGAACGGGACACCCAAGTGTTAGGAGTGGCAAATGCTCTTTCAAGGCAAAACATTAATTAACTGGTAGAAGGGAAATTAATTCAGTGGCTCACATTTTAGCTGGTGAGAGTGTAAGAATTAGGCAAGGATATTAATTGCTGTTGCTTTATTTTGGGATCGAGAAAACCTGTTCAAATTTTAAAAGCTTAAGCTTTATGAATAGTGCTAAGTAAAATACTTCACAGGCAATTAAGACATTATTTACCTTTTTCAATTCTGATGATCACTTTCCTGATAATTGATAGGGGAAGTCAGTTAGGCACCCACAAAGAAATTTTGTTCTTTTTAAAACTACACTGTTAAATAAATGAGCAGCTCTTCATTTTTGGTGCCAATGTAATTTGACATATTGGGACTTCCTGAAATAAGCCAGTTGCTGTCCAGAGTTCACTTTCTCTGCAAAAAGCCTACAATAACAGTGTTTTGATTTTGGTTTTTATATTCACAAAAGTCAGAAAATTCAAAGTTACGGTGCCCATAGCATCCATAACTTCTCTCCTACTATAGGAAGGATCTTCTGATACTGGATATTGTATTAACTGTTTGTCTTAATACAAGTGTACATTGAGAGTTACAATTGTCGAAGGAGCCATAATTCTTTGCATTGCTTTGCTTTTGTGTCCGCAAGATTTCAGCCAGAATGTTGTAGCAAAAATTTATTGACCTTCCCCTTTTTTTTTTTTTTCCAGAATGGGAGAAAAATGTTTTGCTCCTTCAGAGCTTGTGCTTTTTCCCTCATAAACTCATTTCAAAGTGATTTTTTTCTTATGCCTTCCTAACGGATGATTTAATCCAGGCCCAGTAAATGAGCTTTTACATTTAAACTTGTTCAAACAATAAATGTCAGGTAGACTTTTCCACTCTTAACTCATTATGCTAAAACAAATTTTCTTCCTCCACACTTGGTTAACTGAGAAATGGCTCAATGGGATTTTACCAAACTTAAAAAAACAAAACACCACAAGCCTCTTTCTCCCCAACAAACAAACCACCACCACACCTCTTGATAAGAACAAAAAATTCAGCCCAAAGGTCAATTTTTATTGAAAACTAAGGCTCTGGAAATAATGGCATAGAATTAAAGCCCTGTCCAGAGTGGGACTGAAACTGTACCATAAAAAGGTATGAAACGAGTGGGGACATAGTTCTGTATAAAAAGATCCATATTATCAGCTGTCTAGAGGAGGTGATCAATATGGTACACACAGAAAAAATCCCAGTTTACAATGGCTGCAAACACTTGTTGGCAACGATCTTGTTCAGCTGTAGCATGGACAAGGCCTGAAAGTGTCACCTCAACTAGAAGAATAATGTCACTACTGTTACTGTAATCTGCATCCTCAATCCAGATATTTACGGGATTCTGTTGCCAGTAAATCTTGCCTTTGTTATGTATTGTACCACAAAGAGAACTGGGTACCTGTGAACTAGGTACCTGTATATAAGTCAGCCACTTGGGAACTTGAAATGTTTTGCACACACCACGTATCTGTTTGACATGAAAATAGACAATTCCAGCTCAGTCCTCGTGAATCTTGAGAGGGGAGACAAAGCTATCTGATGTCTGCTCCAGCATATTTAACACTTGTTGTCATACTTCAACAGGAGCCAGAAATACCAGAAAGTCAGGAAGAAAAGAAGAAAGATTCCAAAAAGTCAAAATCAAAACGGCTTGAAAGGAGGTCTACAAGAACACGGAAATGCATAAGTTACAGGTAGGCAGCTTGTTCTGCAACTGGAGAATATTAATAATATATTGCCATTTCCTCTGTCCATCCATTCACCTGCTTCTTAGAGAGGGTACTTTTATGGTTAGCCAACTGATCAAATTATAGTGTCTTCAGTCTTACTTTTGAATACTGCACATGATTATCAAGCACAGAGCAAAGGTGCCACTTTAGGTGACTGACATGTAAGAGCAGATACACGGTGTTTAGCCAAGTGATATGGGAAATAGAGCCATCTTAGAAATTACTTTATTCTTATTGCAATGTATGCAAAATACTAATGCAGGCCGATGCATCTGTTCTCCCCTCTAATGGAGGACTGACTAATATAAATATCTGAAAGCTTTGCGTTCCTATTCCTCTTTTCCTGTTGCCCCTTTCCTCTGTAAATATCTGAAGGAATGTACAAATGAAAACCTTACCGCAAGAGACAAAGTGAGAAAAATGAACTTTACCTCTGCAGAATAGCTGGAAACAAAATAGTCATGTCACCAGTGTTTCCAGACAGTTATTGCTAACAGGTTCATAAGATTTCCCCTCCCCGCTCTTCCCTCCCCTCCAAGTATGTTCTAGAACTGTGCTGTAGATTACTTACTGAAGTAGTCTGTAGTACAGCATAGTTAGTACTGCTTTTAAGTGATCAATGTCCCCGTTGGCCCACAAGGAAACTGTTTAAAACCCTGCTGGCAACAACGATGTTTAAGCCAATAACTAATTTGGCTCTCCTCTCAGTGAGTGATAGGGCATTAGTATAACATGATGAATTTGCCAGCATGGTGTTCACTGAGCACTCAGGAATTTTCTCTTAATTAACTGTAGATATTTTTCGGTACCTCCTACTCCTGGGGGAATTCTGCGCATGCGCAGAATTTGTCCCCCTCAGATTTCTTTGCTTCCCCGCAGAAAAATGACTTTCTGATGGGGAAGCAAAGGGAAGCCACAAGAGCGATCATGTGACCCTCCCCAGCAGTATGTTTCGGGTAACCAGGGCACCCAGCAGAGAGGTAAATCACTGTGTGGCAGCAGGTGGGACTGGGGAAGACCTGGCTGGTGGTTCTTACCCTATGCCGGGCTCAGCTGCTAGTCCCGGCAGGGCTGGGGAGGACAAGACTTCCTCTTCCCCTGCATGGCATTCGGGACCGTGTCAGACCCACCCCCAGATTTCTCTGCTGGCTGTAGGAAGCTCTGCAAACTCCCCCACACTTCCTGCTCCTCATCTGCATGGGGAGGGATCACTGTACAGGGAGCTGCTCCCCCATCCACCCAACCCCCGGGCATCCAGACACTCTCATGCTCCAGACTCTCCTGCCAAGCCTCACCATCCCCCCCCATACCCAGAACCCCCCCTGACAAACCTCACTCCCCCTGCACGTGGACCACCTCAGCAAACCATCCGCACCCAGATCCCCACCCTACTGAGCCCCAACCAGCTGCACCTGGATCCCCACCCCACTCCCCCAGCATCTGGACCTCCCTACTGAGCCCCCCACACTCAGACCCCCTTCCAAGCTCTATAGACCCCACCCCCCCGAGCCCCAACCACCTTCACTTGAACCCCCCTGCAGAGTCCTATTACCGTTGCACCCAGAACCCTCCAACAAGCCCCTGTGCCAGCGGATCCACCACTGAGACGCTTGCACCCAGATTGTCCCACACAGAACCCTCTAAACCTACACCTGGATCCCCCCACATTAAGCCCCTCCACACTTGGATTCTGCCTTGCTGAGCCTGCCTGACCACACCTGGTACACCTGGCACGGAGGGGCAGGGCCCTGGGGTGTTTCTGGGGCAGGCCTGGTCCTTGCGTTGTATTAGGATTGGGTGCAGCCTCACTGCTGAGTCTGTGTCCCGGGGCGGAGCTGCACAGTGATCTCTCACCTTTGTGCAGCTAGCGGCTTGTTCTCCCCAGTGCCATGCTGGAGCCTCCACATTTATTTGACAAATAAAATTTGCAGAATTTTGCAGAATTCTAAAATATTGTGTGCAGAATTTTTTAATTTTTTGGTGCAGAATACCCTCAGGAGTAACCTCCCTTAGTTAACACCAGATGCCACACTGAGGAAAATGTCACTGATGGTATACAAAATTCAATATCGCTTGTAAGAGATATGATGCTAAGGGCAGGTTTTTATAGATTTCTGTCATGTTCCTGACAGTTGAGGCAGTCACTGACCCAGGGGAAAATGTTTTTGCCTGTAGGGTATTTTGACAGTACTGCAATGGGTTTATAAAATCCTGCGGGGCTAGTGATTTTTACATGGAAATAATTTGTTTCATACAGTATTACATTTGATACTCAGTCTTACTATCTGAAATGACAGACAAGTATCTCTTGCACAGTACATCATAGATGTCTTTGAGTTTGTGAATGTATTTGTGTATGTGTGTATTGTCTGTACCCGACTTCAAATTCACACATATACAATGGAAGTCTAGTTTGTGTTCATGAGAACTGTGTAGCCCCTCCTTCAGTGAGGGGAAATAAACCCTAAAGTCTCATTTTGTTCACAAATGAATCTATAAAATGTTAGTTCTGTTCAGATACCTGCTTTCTTTGTGTCTTTGGAGTCATCGGCATCACTTATTGATGAACAGGTTAATACAAAATCAACACTACTGAACTAATAAAACTGCAGAAGAGCCAGCTGTCATCTGTTATGCCTCATATATGGAAAGACAATTGTCAGCTAGCACTTGATTCCAAAATAGTTATTAGTAGTGACATGTGGAATGGAAAGAATAGCTTAATTATTCCAAAGACAAAATGAAGCGAAAAGATTTTTGTTAGAAGAAAATAAACTTGTTTGGAAGTACCTTAGAATAAACCTCACAAAGGTGTCGTTTCAGAGTTGCTTATTTTACCATAAATGCACTTTAAAGGTGACATGCAAATGTGAGGATTTGCTTCTTTATGATGTACAAAGAAGGCCAGAAATCTTTTGTTATGAAGAAAGCCTGGTGGTTTTCACTCATAGAAATATCAGAAATATTAGGAATAGTTTTCCCTGTTTTGCATGTAAGGTACAGAATGAGGATCTCTCTCATTCATTCAGTTAAGGGCTGAACCTTTATTAAAAGAGGTTTTCTCCAGCTGTTAAGCATTTAAATTAAAAAAGATATGTGGAAAAACAAAAAAAAGTAGAATTTTATCTGTCTGAATAAAATTTTCCAGACAATTAATCCAATTTCATTTCCTTGTATCTGATGTCATAGGCCTACTAGCTTTTTTTCTCATCCATAGTGTCTTCCAGGGAAACCAACGTAGACAAGACCTGAATTTCCAACTGAAGAAACAAAACATAATATCTTTTTAAACAAAAACCCTCCTGTCTTCTTTTGTACATCAAACCAAAGAGGGAACAGACCCTGTTTTCTTCTATTTGCAGGTTGCCTTTAAATTGCTTTCTCCATGTACAAAGTCACATTCAAAATTGTAAAGGCTTCTATAGCAAAATTACAAAATATGAAAAAAGAATACTTTTGCTTTTGTCCTTCCAGTTTGCTTTACAGCATAGTTCAACCTGTAAATAATAGCGACCGTAATATAATTAAATTTAACATCCTTGTCTGGGTGGGAAAATACCAAAGAAGTCCACCACAGTAGCATTTAACTTCAGAAATAGGAGCTATGCAAAATGAGGAAGCTAGGTAAACAGAAAGTAAAAGGTATAGTCACAAAAGTGAAATGCCTGCAAGTTGCATGGAAACTTTTTAAACTCACTGTAAGAGAGGCTCAAATTAAATGCATACCCCAAATTAAAAAACATAGAGGACCAAAAAAGTGCCAGCATGTTTAAGGTAGTTAGGGAAAAGTAGCTAAAGGCAAAAAGGCATCCTTTAAAAATTGGAAGTTAAATCCTACTGAGGAAAACAGAAAAGAGCATAAACTCTGGCAAGTCAAGTGTGAAAATATAATTAGGCAGGTCAAAAAAGAATGTGAAGAGCAAGACTCAAAAAGTAACAACAACTTTTTTTTAAAAGTACATCAGAAGCAGAAAGCCTGCCAAACAATCAGTGGGCCATTGGACAATTGAGGTGCTAAAGGCGCACTCAAGGATGATAAGATTGTCATGGAGAAGCTAAATGAATTCTTTGTACCAGTCTTCACTGCAGAGGATGTGAGGGAGATTCCCACACCTGAGTCATTCTTTTTAGGTGGCAGATCTGAGCAAATGTCCCAGATTGAGGTATCAATAGAGGAGGTTGTGGAACAAACTGATAAATTAAATAGTAAATAAGTCATCAGGACCAGATAGTATTCACTCGAGTTCTAAAGGAACTCATATATGGAATTATAGAACCACTAAGTGTGGTATGTAACCTATCACTTACATCATTTTCTGTACCAGATGACTGGAGGATAGCTAATGTGACACCAATTTTTTAAAAAGGCTGCAGAGGTGATCCTGGCAATTACAGGCTGGTAAGTCTAACTTCAGTAGCAGGCAAATTGGTTGAAACTCTAGTAAAGAACAAAATTATCAGACACATAGATGGACACGATTTGTTGGGGAAGAGTCAACATGGTTTTTGTAAAGTGAAATCATGCCTCATCAATCTGTTAGAATTCTTGAGGGGGTCAACAAATATGGACGGGGTGATCCAGTGGATATAATATACTTGGATTTTCAAAAAGCCTTTGACAAGGTCCCTCACCAAAGGGTCTTAAGCAAAGTAAGCAGTCATGGGATAAGATTTCATGGATCAGTAACTGGTTAAAAGACAGGAAACAAAGGGTAGGAATAAATGGGAAGTTTTCAGAATGGAGAGAGGTAAATAGTGGTGTTCCCGAAGAATCTGTATTGGGACCAGTACTGTTCACCATATTCATAAATGATCTGGAAAAAGGGGTAAACAAGGATGTGGCAAAATTTGCAGATGATACAAAACTACTCAAGATAGTTACATCCGAAACTGACTGTGAAGAGTTACAAATAGATCTCACAGAACTGGATGACTGGGCAACCAAATGACAGATGAAATTCCATGTTGAAAAATACAAAGTAATGCATATTAGAAAACACAATCCCATCTATACATACGAAATGATGGGATCTAAATTAGCTGTTACCACTACAGAAAGAGATCTTGGAGTCATTGTGGATAGTTCTCTGAAAACATCCTCTGAATATGCAGCAGCAGTCAAAAAAACTAATAATGTTAGGACCCATGAGGAAAGGGGTAGATAATAAGAGAGAAAATATCATAATGCCACTATATAAATGCATGGTACGCCCAGACTTTGAATCCTGCATGTAGTTCTGGTTGCCCCATATAAAAAAAGATATACTGGAATTGGAAAAGGTACAGAGAAGGGCAACAAAAATCATTAGGGGTATGGAACAGCTTCCATATGAGGAGAGATTAAAAAGACTGGGGACTGTTCAGCTTAGAAAAGAGACAACTAAGGGGGATATGATAGAGGTCTATAAAATCATGACTGGTGTGGAGGAAGTGTTATTTACTGCTTCACGTAACAAAGAAGGAGGGGTCACCCAATGAAATTAATAGGCAGCAGGTTTAAACCAAAAAAAGGAAGTACTTCACACATCACACAGTCAACCTGTGGTTCTAGTTGTAGGGGATGTTGTGAAGGCCAAAACTATATAAGCTCTTGAAGGATAGATACATCAATGGCTATTAACCAAGATAGTCAGGGATGCAATCCCATGCTCTCTGTGTCCCTAGCCTCTGACTGCCGTAAGCTGGGAGTGTACAGCGGGATGGATCACTCAATAATTGCCTGTTCTGATCATTCTCTCTGAAGCACCTGGCATTGGCCACTGTTGGAACACAGGATACTGGGCTAGATGGACCATTGTTCTGACCAAATATGGCCGTTCTTATGTTCTGTCAAATGAAGAATTCTGTAAAGCATATATTATGAAAATGTAGGTAAACTACCCAATTTAGAAGTTTAGAGAGCAGAAGTAGTGCAATATGAAACACACACACTAGCAATCAAAATTCAGACAACTTGACTACTTAACGTGAGACTTGTATAGACACATCTGAGAAGGCTGTCCTGAAAAACAAAGATGCATATGCCATCTAAATTTAAAAAAAAAGTTTGGCATAATCAATAAGCAACTATTTCTTGTGAAAATTTTTGCTGAAATACTTATAAAACAAAATATTCACATTGTGGTTTTTGAATTCAGTAGCATACCCTGTAAGAAGGAAGTGTTTTTGTGAATTTATCTAAATTATTAGTAAGTCAGCCCAGGTAGTAATATATATCCATCCTGCTAGAAGCTGGAAATGCTCTACGTATTTTTTAAAAACCCATTGAGCATCTGTCTAGTACACTATGAATATGTATGATGTTTTTCTGATTATTTTACCACTTTCCTCTCCATTTTGGAATGTCTGAAGCACTCTGAATTCTTACAGCTATTTTAGATTTTGAAACATGACTTCAAAATATATCTGAACTGTGCTCTGTTTCAAAGTAGTAAATAAAAGATACTGTTTTTAGATTTGATGAATTTGATGAGGCAATTGATGAAGCAATAGAAGATGATATCAAGGAGGCCGATGGAGGAGGTATGTTTTTATTACTTACTATTTGTATAGTTAAAATGGTGACATGCTGGGCTGGTATGACACACATTCTATTACAATGCCAGAGGGAATGCATGTAGTTCTGACCTTTGATACCTCGTCTGAATCTCTGCATAGCTTGAAATTTTTACTACTGCACTATCAAATGGAAATTGCTACTGTATTTGCCTGGTTGTGGGGCAATGGGTATCATGTGTTGGAGAGTCCATGTAGGGAAAAATCATGTTGCTTTTGTTAATGATAGTTAAGTTCAGTTTTTACTTTTTTCAATATCTAAACATAAAACTGGGTGTCAAGAACCAAACATTTTATAATTGCTCCCTAATTTTGGATGGCCAGATTAGGAAGCCACTGGGTGCTTCTGGTATTCAGTACCTCTGGAAATTGGGCTCATATGTGTTTTCACATTGAGGTGCCCAAAACTAGTCAACATCTTGAAAATGTTGGCCCTAATCTTGGTCAGTACTTCCCTACTGCGCAGATGTGTTGTGAAACTTTATTCATTAATGCTTGTAAATCTTTGTGATCCTCAGATGGAAGGAGCTAATAGTAAAAAAAAAAAAAAAAAAATTAGAACGAAGTTAGAAAATTATAACTTAATCTTACTATTCTAATCTGTCTTTCTTTTTCTTTTGTGACATGGTGAAGAGCTGAGGGACAGATTTTTTCCAAACATGCCCAAGGGATTTAGGAGCACGGTGCCTATTGCCTGTCAGTGGGATTTGTGCTTCAACATCTCTTGCGTGTTTAAAATGTTCAGATAATCCCTTGCACCTGTTCTTTTTGAATCCCCAGAACAATACCTGTTTTTTCAAAAACCCTATGGATGTGCACAGGCACTCTGAAAACCAGGCCTGATTATTTATTTATTTATTAATTTAGATTTAAAGTAATAAATATACTTATTCAAGGCTCTAAGGACCCTAACATAATTAGTAATTCAATAAATACAATTAAATTAAGTCTTAAAAGCATTAAAATGAGTTCCACAGGAACTCTGCCTGCCAGGCAGCCACCTCCTTTCATTTAGGAGGTATACCATCGGCTTTCTCTAAAGACCCTGTCATTTGCAGTGTGCCCAGAAAGTCACCAAATTTGAGCTGTTATGGACTGAGTGGGGGAGCAGGTTCCAGAGTCTCAGAGCCCTCACAGAGAACACTCCATCAGCCACCCCTTCTCTTTTATAATAAGGGAAATCCAGCTCAAACGCCCCTGCTTGACAGACCACAGCTGTGTCAGTATGGCCCAATATGTGACTAGAGCACATCCAAAGAATGGATGTGCAGTTTTGGCTGTGTGCACAGTACAGGGATTATCTCTCAAACTCACCCTACCAAATAAAAAATAACCCCAATTTATCCTGCCATGGCACTCTGGGGGCCACTTGTCTCCTTCCATCGCCCCAGGTGCCTGTACAGCCCCTGCCATGTATGCGGCAGGAGGTGACTGCCCAGGAAAGAGTCTACCATCACTTACTTCTTCATCAGGCCCTCAATGCTGTCTGGATCCTAAAGGGAAAAAAAGAGAAGAAAATAATTGGGTTATCTTTTAACTAGGACTTGAGGCTGCAACCTCTACTCAGCCCTGGCTTTACTGTGAGTGCCACTTCTGCAAGGCTCAGTCCCACCGAGATAAAGACAACGAAACAAAATATTTTTAATGCTAAAGTGGTATCTACCTACTGGAGCACTTCCATCCAGACATGGTGTTACTTATCATGGGGAACACCCTGAGCCTTTAGGACCAGTGGTTAGGACAGCAGAGGAAGTGACCATGCTCCATCATTCTCATATGGTGTTGTGTGAGGGTATAGGGCCTCAGATTGTACCCTACTTATAGATAGCACATGTCACATCACTTGAAGAAACCCTTTGATGGTTGGGATTGGGATAGAAAGGGTGGATAGAAATGGGATGGGTTGGGTGGATAGAAAGCTGGCTAGATCGTCGGGCTCAACGGGTAGTGATCAATGGCTCTATGTCTAGTTGGCAGCCGGTATCAAGCGGAGTGCCCCAAGGGTCGGTCCTGGGGCCGGTTTTGTTCAATATCTACATTAATGATCTGGAGGATGGCGTGGACTGCACCCTCAGCAAGTTTGCAGATGACACTAAACTGGGAGGAGGGGTAGATACGCTGGAGGGTAGGGATAGGATATAGAGGGACCTAGACAAATTAGAGAATTGGGCCAAAAGAAACCTGATGAGGTTCAACAAGGACAAGTGCAGAGTTCTGCACTTAGGACGGAAGAATCCCATGCACTGCTACAGACTAGGGACCGAGTGGCTGGGTCGCAGTTCTGCAGAAAAGGACCTAGGGGTTACAGTGGATGAGAAGCTGGATGAGTCAACAATGTGTCCTTGTTGCCAAGAAGACTAATGGCATTTTGGGCTGTATAAATAGGGGCATTGCCAGCAGATCGAGGAATGTGATCATTCCCCTCTATTTAAGATTGGTGAGGCCTCATCTGGAGTACTTTGTCCAGTTTTGGGCCCCACACTACAAGAAGGATGTAGAAAAATTGGAAAGAGTCCTGTGGAGGGCAACAAAAATGATTAGGGGGCTGGAACACATGACTTATGAGGAGAGGCAGAGGGAACTGGGATTGTTTAGTCTGCAGACGAGAAGAATGAGGGGGGATTTGATAGCTGCTTTCAGCTACTTGAAGGGGGGTTCCAAAGAGGATGGATCTAGACTGTTCTCAGTGGTAGCAGATGACAGAACAAGAAGTAATGATCTCAAGTTGCAGCGGGGGAGGTTTAGGTTGGATATTAGGAAAAACTTTTTCACTAGGAGGATGGTGAAGCACTGAAATGGGTTACCTAGGGAGGTGGTGGAATCTCCTTCCTTAGAGGTTTTTAAGGTCAGGCTTGACAAAGCCCTGGCTGGGATGATTTAGTTGGGGATTGGTCCTGTTTTGAGCAGGGGGTTGGACTAGATGACCTCCTGAGGTCCCTTCCAACCCTGATATTCTATGATCCTACTGTGCTAAGGGCCATAGAAACATATACAGACGTAGTCCCTGTCCTGAAGGCCTTACAGTCTCAGAAGACAAGCAAAATGTTAAGTGGAGAGGGAGACAAGGTGGGGGAGGTAATATCTTTCATTGGACCAACTTCTGTTGGTGAGAGACAAGCTTTCGAGCCACACACTGCTCTTCTTCAGGTTTGGGATTGTGGACGCACGCACGCACTTTGTGTTATATCAGTATACCCTGACTGCTTCTCAGCCTAGCTATCTAAACACTGGCTGTTAAACACTGTGTTAAGCTAATGTTCCCACTACTTATTTCCTTGTGGTAGGGCCTGTGTCACCTCCTAATCAGCCAGTTTTCAAAAGTAGTTCCCCAGTCAGGTTGAATGTGATGGGGTGTGCAACCACAACCCACCTCTGGCATTCAGTTATGGTAATTGTTTGTTAGCACATGCTAATTACTGGTGCATAAGTGGTTGGAATAAAATAAGCCGGGAAGAAGGCCTATTGATACAGCTGCCTGGTGACTCCCATCTCCCTTGGCAGTCCTTTATAGATGATTGCCAAAGAAATCATCGGGACCTACACCATGATCTGTAAAGAGCGATGGTGCCATTGATTGATTGACTCTCACATCTCACAACTACGCCTTTTGTAGATATCTTGCTACCAATTCAAATCTAGTCTCTCCAAAACAGGGCTGCTCATCTTTCCTCCTAATCCCTCTCCACTTCCTTCTCTCTCTGGTTATCACTAAGAACTCTGCTACCGTCCCTTGTCTCCCAAGCTGCTAATGCCATCTCAGACTTCCCAACGCTCCTTCACCCACACCCAGTTCCCTCACTAAGCCTTGTTACTACTACTACTTTAAAATCAGTGTGTTCTTTCATATCTCTCTCTCTCTCTCTCTCTCCGCCACTACAACACTTATCCATGACTTGAGCATCTCTCACCTTGATTACGAGAACCATATCTCTAATTTTCCTGTCTCACCTCTTCCCCCACCGCACTCTTCTATTCTGTCAATAACAGTACTTTTAGTATTAGTACTGTTCCTTTTCAATTATTCCAAGCATGTGTCGTATCCTTGAGTCCACTCTCTAGCTTTCCTTCAGTCCTACATCATATTCAGACTTCTTGTCCTCCAAGAACATTCATAATCTTGTTTTGTGCTTGTGTGTCCCTGAGTTTGTCTTATGGCGCAGCATTTTAATATGTTCCTATCAGATCAGTGGTCCATCTAGCCCAGTATGCTGTCCCAGACAGTAGCCAATATCCGATGCTTCAGAGGAAGGTGCTGGCATTCCTGTAATGGACAATTGTCCAGTAACCTGCCCATAGGGAAACTTCTTTCTAACATCCCATGGCTAAATAGTTGCTTTGAGCCCCCCCCAAGTGTTAAGGATTATATCCCTTCCAAAATATACTCTATATCAGTGGTCCTCAACTTTTTTGTGGCCAGTAGCACATTCATGTTTTCAGAAGTGTGTGGCAGGCGCCAACAATTTTTCAAGGCTTATTTTGTATTTGTACATTAAATGATACAAAAAACATCATATTTAATATTACATAATATATGAATCCAGAGAGAAGCCGCGAGGACAGAGAACACTGGCGCCCGCATCCCCGGAGTACTCTGTCCCCAGCAGGTGCAGGGTCCTGGCTTCTCTCCCCCACTGGGCCCTAGGTGGGCCCCGCGCCTGCCAGAGACCGAGAACACCGGCGCCTGCAGACCCGGAGTTCTCTGTCCCCGGCAGGCGCGGGGCCGCAGCTTTTCTCCCCTGCTGGGCACTAGGTGGGCCCCGCACCCGCCGGGAACAGAGAACACCGCGCCCGCAGCCTGAGTTCTCTGTCCCCATCAGGCGCGGGGCCGCGGCTTCTCTCCCCTGCTGGACACTAGGCGGGTGCACATAAATGCCCCAGCGGGCACTGCGTTGGGGACCACTGCTCTATATAATATAGCTGTGGATGTAAGAAAGCTGGGTTCAAGAAATTGAGTCTTGAATGATGAAAAGGGTCTCCTTTATAAAAGGGAAGTTGAAATTAGCAGCAGGATGGGAAGGTCTCTGTGAAGTTGAATGAAAAATGCTATAATTAACTTGCAGCTTATTTTCCCTTTCTCCCACTAACACAGGTGGTGGCAGAGGCAAAGACATGTCTAATATCACAGGTCACCGGGGAAAAGACATTTCCACCATCCTAGAGGAAGAAAGGAAAGAAAATAAGCGGCCACAAAGGGCCGCTGCAGCACGTCGCAAGAAACGACGGCGACTGAACGACCTCGATAGTGATAGTAACCTGGATGAGGAAGAGAGTGAGGATGAGTTCAGGATCAGCGATGGGTAGGTAGCTGTTAAACTACTAGTCTTGGCTTATTAACCACTACAGGTTTCTGTGAACTTACGATGCCACTGGGTTGTCTCTTTGTGGTTTGAAGCTGTAAGAGTGGGTTTTCTGTTAAGCCAGGTCTAGACTTTGAATTTTTATTAGTCTAACTCTTTCAGTTAGGGGTATGTGGGTTATTTATTTATTTATTTATACATAACAAAAGTAGTTACATTAGTGAAAGCCCTAGTGTGGATACATTTATATTGGTATAAAGGTGACTTATACCCATATAGTTGTGTTTCTTACTGTATGGGAATTGCAGTGCCAGTATAAGGCATCTTTCTGTTCTATCAATATAGAAAATCTAGTCACAACTCTCTAGTGTAGACAAGACTTCATAGATATCTTAGAATGATGAAGTACTGATAGACTGTAAGCTACCAGAGATGAAGCTTTAAGAAAGCTATAGAAATCAACTTTTGATTTTTAGCATACTACAGATTTGAGGTTCAGAAGCCAGCAGAACTAGATGTGGAGATCAGGAAAAGGTAGCGTTTACCCTCTCAAGAACATGAAACCTAAAATGTTAAATACATATTAAGCAGTCTGATTAAAAATCCCTTCCCCTTCTGAATTGCTCAACTTTCACTTTCTTGGGATGCTGCCATTTCATTAGTTCTCCAGTCATCAGAATCCTCCAGAGCAGACAGACCTGAATTTCTAATGTTAAATATCCTTTCAGTCCTTTTTTATGCTTTCTAAAGACACACACAACGGTACAAGACCTCTTTTTCCCCCTCTTTGCTGAGAGTCTTTAAGGCTGACACTCTGTTCATTACCCCTCTTGTTGTGTTTTGGAACTATCTCTATTTAAATCTCTTCAGCTCCATTTTCCACATGTGATTGTGTTGAAGGTTTTTCAGTGGTTGAGCAAGATGTGCTGGAACTTTCCTAGTTAGTGAATTCAGCCTGCAAAAATCTCACTGAATTAGCACTTCATTCATCTGTCACATTGAGTCCACGTATTTTCAACAATAATCTCTACTAATTACCTGTTGGATGTTAGATTAGAGTTCCCATTCAGATATGGGAGTTGGATGCCTATTACTGTTGCATAAGAACCTTTTTTTTTCAGGTAGGCTGCTTAACTGTTATAAAAACTCAGCCAATTTCTATATGACAGTAGTACTGAAAGACCAGTAATATAAATCAATGAATTAGAAGTTTATCCATAAGTGCATCAGCTTCAGGGATATGATTCTTTCAACTCTCACAAGTGAATAGATTTGTATTTGGTCAGTGCTTGAATGAGAGATCTCAAGGGAACACCTACTGTAGGTGAAACATGAAACTATTTCACAGATGGTGTTCTGCCTGAACTATTACTGAACCAGTATGACAGAAGGCACTGTAGGTGTGAGGGTGCCATATTTCATACAAGACACACAAACTGAAGTCCTGACCATTTGTGGGTACTTAAGGAATGTCTCATAAGAATAGTGGTGTTTATCCTGAAGTCCTGGGCCAATTAGAATTCAGCTTAAATAAAGCCACCTGCAGTTTCAATTGGATACAGCATTTGAATTCACTTACTGTCCTAATCTACTGTGTAACGTTATATTCTGTAAAGGCACCTTCAGGTATGCAGCAGGTGTTTAATTTCAGTGTTGGGTATGTTGATCTCAGCATAAAGATTTGGTGCCTCACATTAGTTTTGAGAATATTCATTCGTTTTTGTGAAATGCTCTGAGGATCTCCAGACAAAAAAAGATGTAGATGTTATTTCAATAATACATTTCTATATTTATTATAAGCTATATTAAATATATCTAACTCTTATATGTTACAGTATTTTAGTCCATTTGTTTCAAGTATCTCTCTTTTGGCTGTAACCTTTTTTTTTTTTTTTAACAGATCTCAGGACGAGTTTGTTGTATCAGAGGAAAACCCAGATGAAAGTGAAGATGATCAGCTGTCAAACGAAGACAGTGATACAGAGTTCTGTGCCCGTAGACCCAGGCGACACCACTCCAGGCCAATGAGACAAAGCAGGCGGTTACGAAGAAAAACAGTCAAGAAAAAATATTCAGAGGATGATGAAGAGGAAGACTCTGAGGACAATTTAAGTAGGGAGTCTGGTAAGCTTAACTTTTTCAGAATTAGCTGTTGTGTGTCAGAGAAGAGGGCCCAAGCAAAAGGACGGGGGCTTACAAACTCCTGAGTTCTAATCTTGGCCTGGACATTGACTTGGCTATATGAATTCAGTCAAGTCATATGTCATCTGTGCTTCTAAGGTTCTAGCTGTAAAAATAGGGCTAATGCTTTTGTAATAGAGGTGTTGTGATAGTTAATTGGATGTCTCTGTGAGTTACTTTGGAAATTAATGGAGATATCCTATCTCCTAGAACTGGAAGGGACCTTGCAAGGTCATCGAGTCCAGCCCCCTGCCTTCACTAGCAGGACCAAGTACTGATTTTGCCCCAGATCCCTAAGTGGCCCCCTCAAGGATTGAACTCACAACTCTGGGTTTCGCAGGCCAATGCTCAAACCACTGAGCTATCTCTCCCCCTGAATGAAAAGTGCCATGCGAGTACTGTTTTTTTTAATAATTGTGTTCCCTATTTAAGGTTTTCACTTGGTCTGGAGTGTTCTGTTCAAAATACACAAAAGGAAATTAGTGTTGAGTGCTAGGTTCTTTGGGTCACATTCATTTTTAAATGTGTGTTTAAGTTATGAGGGCAAAACAGGCAATTGTATGCAGAATTTGCAGATTCCTAATGTTTCATTTCCAGTTGCATCTCTATTTGCGTATTTTGTGTGTGCACAATATTTTTTTAAACTTAGCAGGAAAAGTAGTTCAAAGAACTATTTAATTGTGTCTACTCAGAGATCTGCTGATGCCTCATGGAAAACTTTGAAAAGCCTATTGCTTAGAGAAACTCAATCCCTGACTTTTAGTAGGGAAGAATAATTTCCTCAACTGCAGGAATTCTTGTACTATGATCTATGTTAGACAAGAGGACAAAGTTAAATTACAATAGTGATCCCTTAAGACTTTATAATCTATGAATCTATGGTTTTGATATTTCTCTCTTTTGAACTTTAATTACTAGGGACACTTGCATGACAACAGCATCTTTGTACCTTGCCTTATACTGCCTGTTCCCCAATCAAAATCCATCCTCTGACTGAAATACAATTGACTGTATGAAAATGATTCCTACTCAGAGGAATAAGCAATGGAAGCAGATGAACTAAGGGGAGAAGATATTTTTTTCTTACGTGTATTTGTCCTTACTAATCAAGAAGAAATAAATCAGAAAATAAGTAAATTTTGTCTCTTAATAATGTATTCTCATAGCATTCCATGAGGAGTTAGCACTTTTTAGGAAGAGCTTTCTCGGGAGCGTCACTTACTTTGTAGGACTGGGCCCAAAACTACCTAATGCCATTGGGAGTTGAAGGCACCCAGCACCTTGCAGGATTAGTTCATTGAATTTCCACTATTGTATCCATCTTTCTGAAGTCAGCTGAGCTGCAGACTGAAATGGGTTATCCTGGAAGGGCTGGTCTCCAGTGTGAGTTTTTATGTATGGGCAAATTATAAGAAAGGTGTATGAGCTTAAAATAATTGTTCTGTAAGCTGTCTTCCTTTTCTGCATGCCACTAAGAGACCAACAAGGAGTGTAAGAAAGAAATGGCTAGAGTCTGAACACACATAGAGAGTCATAGTGGAAATGGTGGTAGTCTGTGATTAATGAAAATATGCGAGCAACTGATGCAGAAGCTAAAGGATCTGAAGTTATTACTAAGCTGCAGCTAAACACTTGGGAGCAGTTCGTATTCAGTTCCTAGTGGACATGTGTCCATCACAAAAAAATACCCCCTAATATATGCACTATACTCTTGTTGACAGCTGGCAGAGAGGCCAAAGGCTCAGTGTGCCTGGAAGTTGAACTCCCTTCTTATCTCTGTGTAACCCCTTTGGGGTTTAGAGAGTATGGCCCTTTAAATCTTTTTCCTAAGGGGGAGGGGGAGAGTAAGAAAAAAGGAGGGAAACTCCAGGGGGCAGCGCTGGAGCTCCAGGGAGAGGGAGAGGCAGCTGCAGGCCCTGGAAAAGTGAAGCAGCAGAGAACCTGCCTGAAGCCTGGGAAGGACAGGGCCGATCGGGGACACCCCAGGACAGGAGCCAGGAGGAGCACTGTGCCACGGAGGACTCGCCCGAGAAGGACAGGCCGGAGCTGCAGGTGTTGGAGCCCCTCCTAATGCCAAAATTAATTCTTCTCTTGTCCGCTTCTCATCCACCATCAGAGCTTGCAATTTCTGCGCTAAAGAATCCACCTCAAGTGACACAGGCACGCTAGGAGGGGACTGCTCTGCCCCCAGAATTGTCCAGGGAATACCTTCTACTTGCACCTCTTTGGGCACTTTATCAAGATCTGTTTCCTTGGAGTGAGTACGTAGTGCTACCATGCCCTTCACTTTGCGGTTGTAAATACTGGTGCGGACCTTTACTCTCCCCAGTATTTCAGCTGCATCTAAGCTCTCCTCAATTTCATTTGGTTCCATCTCTTAAGGGAACCCCGCCACCAGCACAGCTTTGGTTACTGGGATTCGTGCCGCTCGGCACAGGTCTTCTAATAATCCTCTCTCCATTTTTTTTTTTTTTTTTTAAACTGAGATGAAAGTCACTCAGGAGTTTCTTTGCTCTGTGAAGAAGAGCCCAGGGTGCACAACGTAGGGGTGTGTGTGTGTGTGTGTACTGCAAAGTCCCCGTACGGGCCACCAAGTGTAACTTCAGCGCCCTCGTGGCCAAGATGGAGTCTGCTCTGCAGGCAGCTCTGGCCAAGAGAAGGCGCGCGCAGGAATGCAGCAGGAGAAATCCCTTCCACCCCAGGGGCACCTGTTCCAAACCCCCCAGAGTGAACACACACACCCACAGGAAAAGTACAGTGGATATAACAAAGGGAGATATTTATTTACAGAGGAGAAAAACAACAAGGGGAAATATAGGGGGAGCAGTAAGACAGGGCTGCATCCAAGCCGAGGCCCTACAGGCCCAGTGGTAGCACAGTCTGGAAGGGCAGACACTGAGCAATGTGTCTGCACACTGCTCAGGACTCCTGAACTCTAAGTTCCAGTCCAGTGGTGAGTCTTGGGTGCTCCTGGTCGTCTTCAGCGCCAGTGAACCTTCCCCCAACAAACCCCTCCGGTGCCCTCTTCTGCTGCTGTCTGCAAAGCCACACAGAGCGACCCCAAAGGGGTTACATCTGGAAGTGATCCCTCCATGGCAGCTTGATGTTGGAGAAGCTTGCACTGCTGATGCCCAGTATTCATCTGTTTTGTGGACAAATAAAGAACCTCAGTCTTCGAGGTTTTCAGTCCTGTTCCTTTCCACAAGACAGTGTGTATCTCTCTCTCTCCACCCCCCGCCCCAAACCTCCCTCCCCGCAAAGGGTGGTGGCCCTAACTATATGTTCCTTTCCATTACCCCTACAAGCTCCCTTTCCGGAGAGCCTGCCTCGCCTTACGTTGGGTCTAAAGAAATAACAAACATGGAGGGTTGCTTTATTTTTTTTTCTTCTCCAGATTTCTGAGGTTTCTCATTGAGCTCTCTTGTTGACTTGCTCTCACCTTTTCCTTAATGTTTTAGTCTGAGTCATTTCGGTTAATAACACGATAGGGCAGCTCATGATGCGAATGAAAAGGCAGCATTAACACTGTGGAATAATGTTTTTGACATGGTTTAAAGAAAAAGTAGCCAAACATGATCCAGCTACCACAGTTATTTTCAGCTGTTGGAAAAAGTGGCTGACAAGCTACACCAGTGGTCCCCAACCTTTTCCGTGGGGCGGGCACCAGACGACTACCCGTCGAGGACCGTGGCCGCCGGACAAGCAGCCACCGAAATGCCGCTGTGAAGCAGCAGCGTCAAGAGGCGTCGCCGCCGAAATGCCGCCGTGAAGCAGCATCATCAAGAGGCGTCGCCGCCGAAATTCGGCGGCATTTCGGCAGTAGCACTTCTTGACATTGCCGCTACTCGGCAACATTTCGGCGGCTGCTTTTCTGGCAGGCGCACAGGGATACCCCGGCGGGCTCCATGGCGGGGACCCCTGAGCTAGACCCTAACAAGGTACTAATTCTGCAGAAGACGGGTGAACCGAGAACTAGGAATGACGGTGGGTCGGTTGTTATAAACGCTCTTATCTGGTACTCTGACCAAACGTGTAGCTGCAGCTTTGAAACCTATAGGACTGATCTCCTTGTTGCTGACTTGAGAACAATTAATCTGTACTTTCCTACCATCAGTAGTATAGTCAAGGGTAAACTCAGGTACACAGAGTTTAGCCACTTCTCGTTTGGGGAATTGAGTTTACCCACTTCATTTTTGACCACTGCCTACAGTTCACTGTTGTTCTGTCAATATCTTTCATGCACGTTGTCTAAAAATGCTTGAATATAATAAAATTAGAGTTAAATAAAAACCAGGGGGGACAGGTATTTTCCAGTGGAGATTGAAGTGAGATTGTATCATAAATTCAGATTCAAGCAGGTTGTTCCAGTTGGCAGGAGCTGTAGAGGAGAAGTATGTTTCACACAAGTAGGGGTATAGAAGGATAAAAAGGATTGTATAGAAGGATAAAAGGAAACCAGAGGAGTGGTGGGAGAGGTTTGTGAGAGTAACTGGACAAATCCATAGTGGAATTTGAAAACGGATGGCAATTTCAAGCTGGAAATGAATGGGGAGTCAGTGGAGTAGTATGAGACTGGACCTGGACAAGATAACAACCTTCCCATTAGAGGCGTAATGATTGAGGGTTTCCTGTGACTGAAGAGTGGTTGATTTTGTTTGCTCAAGGTTGCACTTTGTTCAAACAAACATACCTTTTGAAAATGTGACAGTGGGTCTGTGCATTTTCATTTTAACAGAATAAAGCATATGGCTGTTTTCTTCTTTGCAGAAAGTGGTGATTACACAGATTACAGTGATGATGATTACCTGGAAACTAGGCGGAGAAGATCAAGGCGGAATCAGAAGAGACAAGTTAACTATAAGGAGGATTCAGAAAGCGATGGCTCACAGAAAAGTGTTCGATACGGAAAGGAGCTAAGACGACTTCATAAACGCAGGCTTCCCAGTTCAGACAGTGAAGGTAAAACAAGCACTCTACCATTTGCAGGAGCTGATGTGTGAGTGATAGTGCAAAGGGAGAAATACGGGGCATAAAGTAAACACAAGATTTGCATTTAGTGTGAGATACACAGAGAATTCTTTCCTGAGATCCTTGATATTTCCTAAAATCTAAATGTATCCTTGTGATGCAACCTATCAATTTCTATAACAAGGTATTACTACTGCTATTTGTCAAATTCCCTCCTTTCCCTTATCTTGACTTCCTGGTGTGAAATTACTCCACCTGGCAGGGAAATGTTGGGATTGCAAAGGAGGAAATGCAGTTATTGTGGAGGACAGGATTATTTGCTTCAATTGTAGTCATTAAAGATCCCACAGCACTTTTGTAAGAGTAAGGGTGTTAACTCTAGTGTCCTGGTTGTATCCAAATTGGGTAATTTTGTTCTGTCCCCCTAAATATGCACTTGTCTTTATTAAATTTTATCTGGTTGATTTCAGAGTAATTCTCTAATTTGTCAAGGTTGTTTCAAATTTTAATCCTGTCCTCCAAAGTGCTTGCAAACCCTCCTAGCTTGATGTCTTTCGCAAATTTAATAAACATGCTCTCAATTTAATTATTGCAGACATTAATGAAAATATTGAATAATACCAGACCCAGGACTGACCCGTGGGACCCCATTAGATACATCCTCCCAGTTTGACAGTAAACCATTGATAACTACACATAGAGTCTTTCACCCACTTTTATAATGATTTCATCTAGACCACATTTCTCTCATTTGCTTATGAGAATGTCATGTGGGACTGTGGGACAAAAGCCTTTCTAAAATCAAGATTATACCATGTTTTCTGCTTCCCTGTATCCATTAGGCCAGTAACTCTACCAATGAAGGAAATTAGGTTTGTTTGGCAAGATTGGTTCTTCTTTGAGTGCTTGCTCATGTTGATTCCAGTTAGGTGTGTGCGCACCACGTGCACAGTAGCCAGGTTTTTCCCCTAGTGGTACCCATCGGGTCAGCTCAGGCACCCCTGGAGTCGTGCCTCCATGGTGCCATATATAGGGCCCCGCCGACCCGCCGCCAGTTCAGTTCCTTCTTACCGCCTGTGACGGTTAGCCGGAATGCTCATTTGCTCTTGCTTTGGCAAGCCTTCTCCCTAGTAGTCCTCAGACTGTCTTTCTGTGAATAGTTAAACCAGTTAGCTAGTAGCTGTAGTTAGTCAGTCATTATGTAGCTAGATTCCAGTAGGGAGTGACCCCCACACTTCCTGCTTGAAGTGCCTGGGGGAATCGCATCAGAAGGACCATTGCAAGATCTGTAGAGGATTTCACTCAAGGACTCAAAAAGAAAGAGACTAAAGGTTGAAGATCCTTCTGATGGAGGCTGCCCCCCGTCCCCACTCAGAGGAGACTTCGGCCGAACTGACAACTAGCACCTCAACATTGGTGCGCAGTGCTCCGGCGTCGATACGGGAAACTTTGGTACCGAAAAAGGACTTGGATAGAGACACTCAGCACCAACGGAGCTCACTGCACAGGGGATCCACGCATGGCAGTGTGTTGCACCATTCCCAATCCCCGGTGCTCCTCAAGAAAAAGAAGCTGTACAGGGGTTGCTCACCTACACGGAGGCCGGGACAGAAGGACCCGCATTGGGCCACGTAAGCGTGGCACCACCTAGCCCAGCGCCGTTGACTCCTGCCCCAACAAAGGGTCAGTTGAGTCCAGCTCCCCAGGACTCCCCTTCCTGGGAGAGTCGCGGAGAGGCTTTGCAGCGGCCCTCCAAGCCAGAGACCTTCAAGGCGGCAAGAGAGCTCATCACCTTCATGGCACTGCCTTCCCTGCCCAGGCGAGACAGGGCACCAAGCTCAAGGGCAACGGCACCCGCGAGACTCTCAGTGTGGTCCCAAGGCAAGCCAGCGATGGTACCACATCAGTCACCATCACCCGGTCCCTGGTACCTTCTGGCAGCAGACCAGCAGGGGAACTGCAATGGTCACCAATCTGCCAGCACTGCTCCACGGCACCAGTGGGCACTGTTCTCCCATGGTCCTCCCAGAGTGAGTCCTCCCAATCGGATTGAGAGGTGGAATCCTTTGTGTCCAGGTGGAGCCGGCACAGATCGGAGCGCAGACACTCGAGGTTGGACAGGGAGAGACAGCAATTTCCCCCGATGCCGTGGCCTGTGCAATGGCAGTCTCCAACCCAATGGCCGTTTTGGATCCCCTGGGCGTTTCATCAAAGCCAGGGATCCTATTCCAGGAGGTCAGTGTTGGTGGCTTCAGAAACCCATGCACCTCCCCCATCTCCCTTGGTGCAGGACCAGCCGCCCCACACCGTACTGGTCACCGCACAGTCCAGGAGCAAGAGCCGGTCCTGGGTAGAACCTCGTCTTTGTCATCACCAGACGAGGCAGTGGCTGGTACCTCCACGGCTCCTGCACTCGAGGACAGTAGGGTCCACCATCAGCTCCTGAGAAGTGACCCAGAACCTGGGGCTCTAGGTCGAGGAGGTCTCTGAGTCATTGGACCCCATGGTCCATCTTGACCCCCTGAGGACCCTCCCAAGTTGCCCTGCTGCTCATTAAAACCATACAAGATACCACCAAAATGCTGCAGCAAACCCCCGCCTCCCTGCCCCTGGTGGCGAAAAGGACAGAGAGGAAGTATTTTTTTCCCTCTAAAGGGTTTGAACACTTTTATTCACACTTGCCACCGGACTCCTTAGTGGTGGCAGTGGCAAAAGAATGAGAACGGCAAGGGCACCAAGGTCCCATCACCTAAAGCCCGAGATGTGAAGAAGCTGGACCTCTTTGGGAGGAAAGTCTATTCTACCGGGGGGCTCCAGCTTCAGATTTCAAACCACCAGGTGATCCTTAGCAGATATAGCTTCAATTCCTGCAGGGCTATGTCAGAATTCACTGAGCTTCTGCCAGAAGAATTGAGGGCATAGTTTTCCACCTTGGTGGAGGAGGGCAAACTTGTGGCACGGGCTTCGCTACAGGCAGCCCTGGATGTTGCCAATTCAGCCACTTGGACCATGGCTTCAGTGGTGGCCATCAGGAGGAGCTCCTGGCTGCAGGCATCAGAGCTCCTGTATGAGGTCCAACAGACCATCCAGGACCTCCTGTTTGAGGGCTCGACTAGGGTGACCAGATAGCAAGTGTGAAAAATCGGGACAGGCTGGGGGGTAATAGGGGCCCATATAAAAAAAAAAAGCCCCAAATATCAGGACTGTCCTTATAAAATTGGGACATCTGGTCACCCTAGGCTCGACCCTCTTCGCTGAGAAAACGGACTCACGGCTTCATAGCCTTAAGGACTCAGAGCCACTCTCAAGTCCCTGGGCCTCCATACTCCATCTACACAGTGGAGTCATTTTAAGCCCCATCCCCTGCCTTGATTCTACCAACAGGCAGGACTATTCTAGGGGTACGTCCACACTACCCGCCCAATTTGGCGGGTAGAGATCGATCTTCTGGGATCGATTTATCGCATCTCATCTGGATGCGATAAATCGATCCCAGAAGCGCTCCCCCGTCGACTGCGGAACTCCTGCTCGCCGAGAGGAAGCGCTGTCGACGGGGGAGCTTGCCTGCGCCGCGTGGACCCGCAGTAAGTAAACTTAGTTCGATCTAGGAAACGTCGACTTCAGCTACGCTATTCTCGTAGCTGAAGTTGCGTTTCCTAGATCGATCCCCCGCTCTAGTGTGGACCAGCCCTTAGAGGCGTAATAGAAACAACAGGAGGAAGCCGCCTCCTCCTTCATCAGCTCTGGGCAGGTGAAACAGTCCTCCGGTTAAAAACAAGCCTTTTGAAGGTGCGCCCGAGGGCGATGCACCAGTTCAAACACCGGATCCAACTATCCCATCCTTTTTGTGCCAACTGTCTCACTTCTACCATGCTTGGGCCCGGATCACGTCAGATTGCTGGTGCTCCTGGGGGAATTCTGCGCCCTGCAGAATTTCTTTGCTCCCCTGCAGAAAAATGGGGGAGCAAAGAAATCTGTGGGGAGAACACATGCCCCTTCCACAGCAGCCCGGACGCGTTTGCTGGGAGCAACCGGCAGCAGAGAGCAGATCACCCCAACGGGGAGGGGAGGGGAAGGAGGGAGGTTGGGCAAGGAGGTGGGGCTGGGTACCTGCCCTCTCGTTGCTGTTGCTGCATCCCAGGCTTGCAGGCATAGGGCTGTGTAAAGCAGGCTCTGTCCCTGAGGCAGAGCAGAAATGTAACAACTAAACAGACAGGCTGCTAATGTTCCCATTGCTAGTTAATTGTTCCCATTCTTAGTCAATTAAGTCTCCTTTACTTTGCCAGATGGGGTAAAGGAGCCTTGTTGTAAATGACAGTAACAGAATCCTCAGCTAAGAAGGTCTGTGTGCTTTCTCACCTTTTTTTCCTGTGCCAGAGAGGCACAATGGGGTTAGATTACAGCTCAGGATCTATTTTACTTATCCATTTAAAAAAATGCATGACAATGATTAGCAAAACTGGATGGTTTTCTTGTGTGAAAGTCTGAGCGATTTAAAGCATCATTCTACTTTACAGAACACCAAACAACAAAATAAAAGTCATGTAATTTACATGAAAATCCAGGATTATAACTGGAATGCAGAGTCTTGGTTACCAAGTATTTGTAACTTAATTTTCATGTCTTTAGGACATGCTGCATAGTTAGTGTGATTTTTTTTTCTGTATGGTAGTTTAAATAAATTACCAAAATAACTGAAACTGGTGTGATTATATTGCATTATTTTGACAAATAAAATTTGCAGAATTTTGGATTTTTTGGTGCAGAATTTTGGATTTTTTGGCGCAGAATTCTCCCAGGAGTAGCATGGTAGAACTGGGATATTCTCTCCAGTTCAGCTCCCGGTCCTCACTTTCAGCCTGTCAGCAGCACCTTGGGTGTTCACCAAATGCATGGCAGTCATGGCCACTTTCTTGCGGAAGTGCCAGGTGCAGGCGTTTCCATACTTCGACAACTGGCTGATCAAGGGCTGCTCCAAAACACAAGTGGAG